TAGCGAAAGTAGTGATCAATGCTGGGGACTTCAGCTTGCAGAACGTGATAAAAGGATTTGCCCACAACCGTCAACAAGTTGTTGGTTTCATCCCAGACCAAGCATCGCTGAATTAAAAACGTCGGCATTTGTATTGCTGAGAGTGCCATTGTTCAATCTATGGAAATACATGCTGTTCGAAATAGGAATTTCTCGAAACTGGGGACTTGCAGACATGGGATCTTTTCAAACTTTACTAAACAATGTAACTTTGGTGGTTTTCAATTAAAAAACACATGTCAGAACCACTCCGGTGCTCCACAATTTTAAGTCTTCGACGGCTTGCTCAAGCTACGCCATCGAAGTTCATTCGTGCACTGCGCCGCCAATGCGTTCAACCGGCCATTTTATCGAGGGCAATGTGAAGCAACAGGTCAATTCTATGTTCTATGTGCCATGGATGGGGTAATTCTATGTTCTATGTGCCATGGATGGGGTGGTTTATGTCTGCATGAAACAAAGTTCAATTCAATTTTGAACATATTCTGGAGTTAACTTTCAACAACGTTTTCTTTTGTCAATTGTGCCATGTTCAGTTTAACCAACATTGACCAACCATTCACGAAATTATGGCACAAATGGAAACTAAATGCGTTGTCCCCTCGTTTTCGAAGCATATTCTGGGGGTATGCCTTGACCCTGCGCTGTTCTACCAATCGGATTCTGCATTGTATCCATGGTTAGTGACCCTAGTGACCCACGATATCATTCAAAATCACGTGCCATTTGAAATTTGGCCTTGAGTTGAGTGGTTCCCAAAGCACATTCGTTTCACAACCCCTTATGTTTTGGTGTTTTTGGAAACTCCTCAGTTTCCGGCCAGGTCTGTTTTCACTGCTTGGTTTGCTGGCATTCGTTTCTTGTCGCTTGGCGCGGCATTCGTTCACCGCTTGGCGCCAAGCGAAACCAATTTCTCTGTCAGGTCATGGGAACCTCGACGAACTAAGTCTACTGCAGAGGACCGAAACGTTTCGCACCGGTGAGGGTCAAATGTTTCGATACGCATCCGTGAGATGTTGCGATCTAATTGTTTTGAAATTGTATCCAATTTGTTTTGGACCATTTGCTTCACCATCCTAGTTTTGGTGGAACCAATGATGTGACTCCCGTCACACATCCCGTGTCCGATCTTGCATTCGTCGCGGCGCGTAGATCCCTAAATTTTGCAACTAGACTAGAAATTAAATTGGTTCGTTGATGTCACCCTTTTGGAGATTAATGACACCTCGCCTCATTCTCATCCACATGTGTTGATGTTGGTTAGTTTATCATGTTTTTTTGTTTCTTCCTATTCTTTGTTTCAAAATGCAAGAAAACACCAATCCCCAATCTTGATTGGTACAAGTTGGCATCCAAATTTAGTTATTTTGCTTCTTGCACACCTCATTTCACTGGCTGATCACCTTGTTTGTCTCGTTCAAACCTCGATTTTTCGGTGAAATTCCCATCAATTTTCTGGTTCCCTTCCCATATTTGGGTGAAACCATGAACATTACATGGCCATTTTGTGCTGGGAAAAAGGGTTTCGGGAGTCAAACCGCGGCTCCGCGCGGAAACCCGCCAGGACCAACGGCGGAGGCTTGATCGAACTGTCCGCCGAGGAGCTGCTGGCGGAGGATGAAGAGGCCATGGGAAGATGGGGATTTGGTGGGAAATTCGATGGTCAAATACCTATTATATATAGTTATTCCCACCAATAACTATGGGAAATTAACTATGGTAAATGGGATATGTTAACTATGGTTATATGGGAATTACTATAACTATGGTAAAATTCATAGGGATATAGTTATTACTAGATGGGGAATGTATAATTATTCAATTTAGGTACTCCATATGCCATAGAAATGGGGGAAAAATGTTGGGATCTTCGCTGGAATATTTTTTTGGTATGTCTGAAAGTGATGGGAATCTGATAGACAAAGTGGGGATAAAACTATGGGAATATTGTAAGAGTCTGAGACATATGTGCAATCCATAGTCAAGTTACTTGGCTAATTTGCCAAGTTTTTTTTGATAGTCATCAATCCATCAATAAAGATTGATATACCCACTATATATAAGGATGACCATCATCATCATGGAATGGATGACCATACCACATATATGCAATGTCTTGACCATGGCAAATAACATTTTGAGTATATGATAAGTTGAATTGATACAACAATGACGCAAACCAGAACTGGTGGACTTTTGTTTATTTTCTATCTGAGCGTGTGTGAAAGTAGTGGGACGATCATGAAAAAACTGTGGAGATGCAACGATCGCAACCATCACTGGTGGAATGAAGGCAGCCACTCTGGAAAGTGTGGGGAAGAGCCAAGAATTATCCATCATTGTGGCTACTGTTGGGTCATTATCATTATCATACTCTTATGGAGACTCATGATGATTATACTGTTATTGGATGTATTATGGTTGCCATCTTTCTTGTTATTATAATCATTCTTCATATTCTTTTCTTGTGACTACAGTATTGCCATCATGAGCATTACCATTACCGTTGTTTCTGCTATTGTGAATACATAGTACAGTACTATTTTTTAAAAACCATTACTGTATTCATCATTGTCATCACCATCATTGCTATTAGTTACTTACCCATTGTGCATAACTACACCGACAATATTGACTATGGCGATGAAAATAAACATACCAATAACATTAGGAACAATAATGATACTAATATGTATCAATACAAAAAATGATAATGATAACCCAATTATGTATATATATATATAACTATTAATATTAACAAATAATCATCACTGGTAAAATCATCATCCCGGGTTATCATGACATCATCATCTCAGGACGAGCTGGAGCTTCCAGAAGATGCCCAGCACGGAGTGAGCAGGGGCTGCCCAGTGGTTATGGTGATTTCTCGACCAATTTCTGGCCACGTTCATGGGGAAATTGAATGAACATGAGGGTTTTTCAACCACCGGCATTTTATGGTGTTTCCGAAGAACATTGGACCAAAGCTACTGACCTTTCATTGAGACTATCAGCATTTGAGTTGCTGGGCTAGTCAAATCTGGAATTGTCCAGATGTGAAGGGAGTGACCCCCAGTACATGGCTACATTTCAATGGGAAAGAAGGATTTTCCCATGCGTTTAGTCGGAGTTCTCTAGATAACTTTCCCAGCGATGCAGGCCCATGCGTGGCAGCGGGCACCTGCCTGGAGTGAAGGTGCGGTGGGCACGTCGAAACAATGGGGTCAATGGTTTTAAAAATGCTGGATTTAAGCAACAAAAACGGTGCTGTAATGGTGATAAATATATATATATATACAGATAACCAATCATATTGTTTTTTTTCTCTGTGGATATACGTCTAAGCTGTACTTGGAATATTTGATTGGAGATATTTGAAATATAAATGACATGACGTGGAATAGATATGTTACATATATATATATATTTATGATATATGTATCTAGCCAACTATGTATGATGTTTTGAGTCCCGGAAAACCAGTAACCATATGGGGATTAATATGGTTTTACATGGGGATATTCACCCAAGCTTTGTATGGGGATATAAGAAACGCGAATGGGGCTACATAGACGCGCGCACACACACACATTTACACATTTACACATTTACACATTTACACATTTACACATTTACACATTTACACACATACATATTTACACACACATACATACATACATACATCCATCCATCCATCCATGCATGCATGCATACATACATACATACATACATACATACATACATACATACACACACATATATATATATATATATATGTAATATATATATACACATATTAATATAAACAACAATTGAATGTGGGAATGCCCAAAAATTAAGGATAGCCCAGAACAACAGCCTTCAAAGGGAAAGGATAGGGAACCGGATTTTCAGACACACCCATTGGGGTGCAGCAGAAATGAGTTGATACAGTGGATAGAAGAAATCCTGCACCAGTGGATAGGTGGTAAACATCCCATTATTGGCAGCGTTTCAGCCATCCTTTTGGTGGTGCAGAATTTCTTGCATCCACCGTAGCAATCACCAGGATGTGATGTATCATGATTCAAATTACCAAACAGATGTGAAAAGTAGAGCAAAATCAGATATTTAGTACATTGCTTTTCAATCACTAAAACTGGGGACTTTTTTCTATTTTTTTTTGGGTACTTGATTGAAATCAAACCCAAAAAATCCCTGTGGATCCTTGTGGCAATATGTCCATTTGGAGAGTCTGTCCACAATTTTTCTGATCTTCCCAGCGAGCGAAAAATCTCCATTGAGAAATCGGGAATTTCGAGCCATGTTCAGCCACGTTTGATTACCAGAGGGGCCCACCCACTTTCAGACCAAGAAAACACCGAGCCAGCCAGGTTTGAACCAGGAGACCTACTGAGTTGCGAAGCTCCAGAAATTTGGAGCAGGGCTTTGTCTGAAAACTGAGGATCACCCATTTCCAACGGTTTATTATGGTTTTTCTATATACTGTACTATCTGTACTGTATATATTGTGTATATATATATATTATATTAATGTATATATATATACATACATACTTTTACACACAAAACATTATGTGTTTCCCGTTGTTTAGTAGCATTCTTGGGGTAAACCCTCCGTTTTTTGGACAACAATCATAGATCCTTTGGACACCAGACCCGGCAAAATCACTGGAAAAAGGGGGCCATCTATGGACGGCTGGAGGAGAACTGGGATGTGAACCCCGTCTCCTTCCCGCTGGGATGTGATATGACTTTCCGGCTGGAACTGCATCGAAAACTTCGCTGCAAAATCCAGAAAACCGTTCCATAGAGGGATCACCTTTGATCACATTTTTCGGACAGGTATCATTAATCACCATTAATCACCATATATAACCATATATAAGTATATAAGTATATAACCATATATAACCCATATAATCCTATGTATATATAATCGCAGTTTTGGGCCCCAGGTGATTGAACCAACCCCCAGACGTTTGCTTCGCCGCGAATGCACAGCCCGCCATCGGTGGAGAACGAGCAGCCCAGGAAGAAGCTACGCATGGAGAACGAAGGTCGCCATGGCTGGACTATCAACCAGTGGATGAATTGGATCGACATGGAACTGGGAAGATCTTGAAATTACCCTCTGGTAATTTAACATAGCTATTGAAAATCACTATTTTCAATGGGTAAATCCACTATGAATCACCATTTTCAATAGCCATGTTAAATTACCAGAGGGTAGATCTTGAAAGTCTTTAACAAATCTCGGGACCTAAGCCGTTGAAATTTGACCATGCTTCTCGGTTGGGGTCTCCTGAGACTTTTGAGAGGAACCTGAAATGATTTCAACATGCCCAGTCTAAGATTCAAAAGGTTGGCTTATCATGTTTTTTGTGATTTTTGACATTGATAGACTGTTGACTATTATCGCTGGCCAGATGGACCCGATGGGAGAAAACCTCCACCAGCTTCCATCGACCGCACAACGGGTAGGTGCCCAGAGATGGAGTTGGCCATACCGGGTGGATGAGATCGCAGGACTCAGATCGGGTAGCAGCAGGTGCTAGGATTTTGCTGATGCCACATCTTTCAGGTCATGAAAAGATGATTTCAAAAACTGCTACAAACCCAACAACATTTTGTGTTTTTCTTGACCAACAAAACTTGGAGCAGAGGAAGTGGCCTTGGAGATTGCTTGGCCATCACGGATGATACGAGGTGCAACCGTGACGGAAGATGGGCTCACTAGTCACTAGTTATTGGAAGAAATGCCGCCTTTACTGTACATAGACAGCATACATATAGCATACTAGATATCTATATTGTACATAAGCTTCTCAACATTTCGTATAATGTTGTGTATGTACAACATAGATAGTGCATTGAATGCACTTCTAACACATGTATATATATATATATATATACACTATATATATATATTTATACATACAGCATCGTCCAAATCTGCGCTTGAAAGCTGCGCTTGAACTTCTCAACATTGCAGGCAGATCACTTGGTCCGAACTCTCTCGGGCTTCCAAGGCCCTCGGCTGCCCCATTTTTTGGGTCGTGGGGCATGATGGGAAGGATAAACACATGAGGAACGTGATGGAACTTCCGGAACATGTAATTTCTTGGAAGAGGAACTCCCATGTTTCCACCTTTTCAAGATTTGCAGTTGTCAAGAAGCTTGGAAACCAACAAGAATACTGATATTTGGGATATAACACACCGGCAATATCGGGAAATATGGGATGGGGATGAGGATTTCTGATCCGCAATTCGACCCATTTTGTGTCTATTTTTTGAAGACCTAGATGGCTGACGTCCGTTAATTTGAGGAACAAGACATGTCCAAATCCGCCGTTTCAAGTTGGGTGATTTGAGGTCTTCTCAATTTTGGGATGTATCGATGTGATTGTTGGGTGCGTGGCGCTATAGTTATCACTATTGCTCGAATCCACATTTTTAATTGTTCCATGCCCAATTTATGTTAGTTGAATCCGCAAGTGTAGATCAGAATCCTTTTTCCACTGGTACCATAGATGAAACAAGAGGAGTACCCATTTTTCGGCAACCAATGGTACACGACCGACCTTGACAGATAAATTTGTCTGAAAAGGGGCACCCCAAAATTTCATGTTGAAGCAGTGATTTTCTCCACTAAAATGACCATAGTTCAAGTGTAATTCCACCAATTCTTGGACGAAACCACGTTTTTTTTTTTCCACGAATATGGCATGAACATTCATGATCCTCTTATATCACAGAATTCTGAGTGATTAAATGTGATAATGTGGGTAAAGCAATAATAAACCGTCCCCCAAATCACTATTTTGATAGGTGGTATGGTTACCATTCCCAGTCATGGGTGGTTTATGGTATTGTTTTACCCACATGACATCAGGATTTTCCATGAAACAAGCCATCCATATTCCACATTTTCACAGGATTTTCCATTAGATCATCCACTTTCATGGGATTTTCCATAAGCCATCACATTTTTTTGGGATATTCTATATATATATATCCCATTATTCTATATATATCCTATGGCATATTCATTATATATATATATACACAAATATCCCATGATATCCCCATTTTTGTCGCCATTTGTCCTCAAAGAGTTCCAGTTCTCCTAACAGGTGGTGGCCAAATCGCTGAAGAAGCTTGGCCTCACTGGAAGCCCAGCTGCAGAGCCGGGGCCATGATTTTGTAGCCTCCGAAGCACATTTTTGAGTTTGCCAGAAATGGGTGTATGTATGATATAATATCACATAGTATAATATGATGTAATATAAGATAATATTGTATAATATAATGTGATATGATGTAATATAGTATAGTATAACACAATATAACATGATATACGATAATATAATATTGTATAATATAATGTAATATGATATAATATCATATAACCTGGTATAACATAATCTAATATGATATAATATAAGATATTGTAATATAATGTAATATGATATAATATTATGCAACATAATGTAACATATATAATATGAGATGATGTTGTATAATATATTGTAATACGATATAATATAATACAATATGATATAATATAATGTACTATAGCATAACGCAACGTAACGCAACGTAACGTGATGTAACGTGATGTAACGTTATGTAATGTGACCTAACATAATTCAACGTAATGTAATGTAACGTAACATAATGCAACGTAATGTAATGTAATGTACTATAATCATACATGTATACACCGTCCAGCTCTTTCTGTTTGCAGGGGATTCTCAAGCTAAGTCATGGTGTTTGGAATTTCATTTTTTCTTCCGGAGATCAAAAAGGTTATCTCCTACGCATGAATATACGTTGGGTTTGAACAACTGAAATCTAGGAGCAGTTCTGATATTCTTTTTGGATGCCGAGGAGCTTAAGTCTAGTTTGGAATCAGATAAACTCAGATATCATCTGGCCAAGGGTTGGCAGGATGGCTTCAAAAGGTATCGGTGGATAGGCTCACAGATACCACAGGTGCACCAGGTTGGAGTTCACCCACCTAGCAACAGGAAATCTTCAAGTTCAGGAGATTTGAAGTGGTAAAACATATTATTATATAAAACATTTAAATACATGGTTTGTTTACCCTTTGGTTAACGTAACTATGGAAAACCACCATTTTTAATGGGTAAATCCACTATAAATGGCAATTTTCAATAGCTATGTTAGTTTACCAGAGGGTATCTAACATTTTCCAGCCTGCCATGTTTGTTTACCCTAGTGGTGCAGCCTTTTGGATGTTTCTTCCCGACAGTCCCCAGGCACGCCACGATCTGCGTATCGTCGCAATGGAGAAGCAGCGGAAGCACCTGCACCGATGGCCACCTGGCACGAAAATTCACAGTGTGGATGGGCAAAAATGGGATTAACACATTGGATATATAGTTATAAGTTATAAGATTTTACAACACTGTAGCGTTTATAGAGACTTACAGCATCTTACAACCACAGTTGCTAGGTGGATTTCTCAAACGGCAGACAGTTTTATCCTTTTGATCGAGACCGCTCAATTGGCCTACTTTAGCCACGAGTGTGGCAGTGAACGTTTGAGATAGTCAGTGGCCCCTGGTAGATTTCGTAGGTCATTCATATAATGAGTTCACAGGATTTCGCAGTTGATCCTCTACGATTTCGATCTCATCCCATTGTTGTGGTGATGATTCATGAATTCATCATTCATCCATCAACCAAAATCAAAAAAACCCTTGAATCCATCATTCTCAATCCCATGGATTTCTGGAGATTCACCATGGGATTTTCCCACCAGATTTTCAGATCTTCCCATGGCAGGTGACGATGCTTCCCCACAACCTGGAGAGTGTGATCATCCTCCTTGGCGTCTTGCGTCAGGGCTTTCCTCTGCTGCCCTTGAGCATCACTCACAACAACAGGCCCCGGAACGGGGCCCCGTTGCTTTCTCTGAAACCATGGTTTTTCATGGTTACCATCTGGTTATGACTAACATAACCATGGAAAATCACCGTTTTTAATAGGTAAACCATCTATAAATGGTCCATTTTCTATGGCTATGTTAAATAACCAGAGGGTATGCTTATTCAACATCTCATATGGGAAAACATATTGGGAAAACTCCAAAATCGCATGGTTATTCAATGTTATTCACCTCATGTTCCCCGTAAATTTCGGGCCACTTTTTGAGTGTAGATCCCCCAATTTTTGGACAGAGATGCACCGGTTTAGCGGCTGGGAAGGAAGCCAGGAGTAGGCAAAACATGGCGCTTCAATACATCCACAAAAGGGGTCTTTTTAAAGTTAAGTCATTCTGACAATATACAAGTGTTGACCCATCACACAAAGGGATGTAGAAATGTAGAAGTGTTAATGCATCGCAAAATGAGGGTCACCAATTTCTGATCCATATCCATGCCTGAAAAAATAAAGAAATCAAGTCCGAGCACTTTTCAAATAGTTAAATAGTTTGTAGATCCAAAGGATCAGCAACCAATGGACCATTCAGTCGATCCATCCTTGGGACAGGAGCCAACTCTTGTCGCGCTATGAGGACATCCAGTGGTCCAAGTGGTGTTCGCTGTCTTGGTGTTTTGGGAAGCCAACAGCTATGGGGGACCATTTGGATGTGATGAAAATCTTCGATTCTTTGATGTCTTTCCTTTCTCAAAAGGATAAGATCAACCATCGTTCTCCCGATTCACATGCTGCTAATCCTGCTAATTGGTTGACAGGGAACACTGACAATAGAAAGCCTGAGACCTGGAATGATTTGGATGTAACCTTGGATTTGGAAGTTAAAACCATGGTTTCAACATGTTTTGACCATAGAAGTTTCCAGAAAACAATCCATATGACGACATTGTTGGGTAATGATAGCCCGATTTAAAAACATACCCATAAAATGCTGCGTTTCATCCCCATTCAGATCTAACTCACGCCCCAAAAACGATGCAACAGCGCACCCCCGAATCAGGACGCCATGCTCCTCTTCGAGCCTGTAGCCGCTGTGGTCACGGACACACCCACTGGGCAGAACCTGATGATGGAACTGAAAAACTTCCGTCCCGTGTTGCAGGCCTTGCTCTGGAATCCTTGATTTGGGAGGTGTTGAGCTGGGCCCAAGATGGAGTGGCTTTAACATGGTTGAAGCATCACAGCTTGGTTTTTTTTGGGGGAATGGGGATGTGATGGGGATAGAATCTTTGGTATAATTTGAGCAACGCTCATTTTGGGCTTTGGTACCTGATTTTTTTTTGGGGAGAACCCTGAAATCCAGTGGTTTTCGTTGGAATAACAATATGTTGGCATTGGGGCGTAACCAATTTTCAGACACAGACACACACACACATGTTGGTGATTTTCCAAGAATTCAAGGCAAATTTCATTACATCCGCATGAAAATCACCGTTAAATCACCATGTTTTTTTTGGAAGATCCTTGTGAACCAGGTCATCTCAGCCTCTGACTTGCTGAACGGTGAGACTTCCGTGGAGGACTATGAGGCGGACTCAGTCCCTGGTTACAAGGGAGAAGTGTCACTCCAGGATGTTGGTTGGATGATGTTTCATTTTTTTCTATCCAACTGTTCCATCCATTTTGGGGTCGCCCAAAAATGTACTGTAATCCTGCGGAATCTGAGGGAACAACTTTTCGAAATTGATGTTCCTTTCGCATCTATGGGGCTGTCGGGAAGACTACCGGGAAGAATTCCCAGTCTATTTTCCCATCTAAATACCCATTAAAAAGTGAGTTCCCAGCCATGTTTGATCACCCGAGGGTTGAAGCAATGCCAAGACGCATCAGTGGTAATTGGGGATGAGCTGCTACAATCTATCTATCTCTTGCTTTGTGATCTAACTTGGCACTGGACAATTCCACATACATTATCCATTTGTGAATGATCTTGGACTAAAAGTTATGATTTTCCATTTCAGACTGAGCGTGGATTCAAGGCCCTTGCCGATTTTGCGACTTTTTCAACAGTATGGAAAACCACAGCATTCCAACCCAAAACCAGCCCAACCAAAACTTATCATGCTTGCAGTTGGTTCCCATCCACCTGTGCGCACACAAAACATGCCTTAACACCTTTGGGATTTGCATGACATTCCACGTGCAATTTACTTGGTGGATTATCCCAGGATCACAAATAATCCAGGACAAGTAGGGGCAATGTCCAGTTATAACTGGGGTGAACCAACCCACTTACTAACCGTCACTAATCCTACTTAGTATATATATATGGTAATCGATCTAAAGGTCCTTGTAAGGAGTTTTAATTGCGAAAGCCGTGCATGTTATGTTGGAAACCCTCGCGAAAGTTTTTTTTTCGAGTTCGCGAAAGTAATATTTTTAACCACATCTGTGTGTGTGTGGGGTTCTAACTTTTTGTTGGACATCCGCCATCCGCCTCCCGCCTCCCGCCGTCGTTCTGTCTCTATCAACTTGTCTGTATCAACTTGTCTGCATCAACCTGTCTCTATGAACTTGTCTCTATAAATTTGTCTCTATCAACTTGTCTCTATCAACTTGTCTCTATCAACTTGTCTGTATCAACTTGTCTCTATCAACCTGTCTCCATCAACTTGTCTCCATCAACTTGTCTCTATCAATTTGTCTTTATCAACTTGTCTCTGGTCGCCTTGGACGCCGCAGCTCCTTTGCGAGGCAGGCGCGGCACTTGGTGACTCTCTCCGCTTGTCTCCCATTGTACCCCTCCTTGTTTCCCGTTGTTGGATGGTGTGTCCGCCTTCCCGAGGGTCTGGCCTCCCTTTGTCTCCCATTGTGCCCGTTCTTGTTTCTCCTTGTTGGGTGGTGTGTCCTCCTTCCCGAGGGGATGGTGTGTCCGCCTTCCCAAGGTCTTGTCTCCCCTTGTCGTCTTCCATTGTCTCCCATCTTCTTGTTTCCCTTTCTTGGATCGCGTGCCCGCCCTCTCGGGGTCTTGTCTCCCCTGGTCTCCCATTGGCCCCCATGGTCTCCATTCTCTCCCATTGTCTCCCCACACGTGTGCCTGTGTTGGACGGTGTGTCTGCCTTCCCGAAGTCTTGTCTCCCCTTGTCTCCCTTCTTGTCTATCCTTGTCTCCGGTTGTCTCCAATAGTTTCCACTCATGATCCTCCTGCCGCCCGGCGGATCAGACAGCCCCACGATCATAAGTCATTGTTTCCCATTGTCTCCCATTGTCTCCAATTGTCTCCCCACCTGTGTGCCCATGTTGGATGGTCCACCTTCCCAAAGTCTTCAAGGAAGTCTTGGAATGTCAATGGCAGGACGTGGTCACAACGACGGATCATGTCCTTTCCTACATCTTCACCAGTGGCTCCACAGGTGCGAAAAGCGAAAACAGCGCATAGAAACACCAAGCCGTTGATCCTTTTTTAAAATGGAGATATTATGGGATAATTTTTGGATATTCATGGATGTTTATGGAAGAATGTGAGTTGGAGTTGTCTGAAAATTGATGCAAGTGCCCAATATTTTTTTTTTTTAACCATGTCGTAGCAATTTTGGATGTATCCTGATGGATGGAAACAATGACTTGCAATGAGGAATGTTCTGAGAAAAAAACAAAACTTCAAATTGTCTGAAACGAAATTTTGTGGATGGTTGAAAGCGTGATGATCATCAGCCAGTGATATCTTGAGGGATCTCACTCAACAAACATGCTGGGGACATGCCCCGATTCGGTTGACCGTTCGAAACTTGGTGTCCCAAGTTTCGATACCTTTAGGAAATTCAAACATGTTAATTGGACATCCCCTTTCTTCATGAACAAAATCTTCTAGACATGAGTGCTTATCCTATTCATCGTCAAATCCTTCTTACTGGGTAATTTCCCCATGAAATACCTTCATTTTCGTCGATTTTCCTTCGAAAAAACAGGGGAGTTTTCCTCCACAGGCAAGTCCAAGTGCGTTGTGGCCACGAACCGAATGGCCTGGGCGGAGTGCCAGTGGTGCGCCAATTTTTCGCGGAGTGCCAGTTGACAACCCTTTTCCGTGGAGAACTGGTTCATGATATAATGATCAATGGGTTTGCAATGATATATTTTGATACCTTATGGGTTCAGGATATAATGAGTTCTGATGATTTGAATTCATAGTAGGCGAATGGCTTTGCAACTCCACTTTTTCATGTGGTCCCCAGATGGTCCCCAGATTTCCAGATCCAGATCCCGTTGATAGATCCCCCCATTTTTTTGGGCACAGTCCGAGGGTGAAAGCCAAACCTGGGCCGTTTCCAAAGCCGTTTCCAAAGAGATCAACACCACAGTGGAAGGCTGGGGAAAACATCACCATTCTTTCCATATAATTCCGATCTACATTTTCTTCCAGAGACCCAAAATGCATTTTCTACGTTTCCATCATTTTTTTTTCAAACATCCTCCAACATTGTTTCCAGCATCCCAGCATTCTTTGGTCCAAAATTGCGCAATTTTGTTCTCTTCCCAATCCACTCTTGTCATCAGCAGGTCGCATTTTTGCGAGCAAAATCCTTATTTTTCATATTTGGATCAACTCCAATCCATAATAACCCACTGTAATCCATCATTTTTCTTCGTGAAATCTGGCAACATCTCTATCTTTCTTACCCAAATCCACTTTTCTCATCCGTAAAATCACCATTTTTGATCACTTCCACTCAAATCTAGGGATTTTCCCTATTGTTTTGGTCGGTTCAATCAGTGAAATCCAGGTACCCTGAGCTCTTCCAGAAGTTGGGCTACCAGGTGGATCCGCGGAAGGATCGCTGGCGCTTGGATCACGAGATGGGCTGGTGGGGTGCGGCCTTCTTCGGTGAGGTGGACGTGGCACTGGTGGCCTGGCAACCTTGGGAGGGTGGTGATTATGATGAATGTAATATGTAAATCGATATGTTTAGATACATAGATTGTTGTTTATATATTGTCTTTTATATAATTATATAATAATTATTATTTATACATTGTTATTTATATATTGTTGTTTATACATTGTTGTTGATATAGAATAATAATAGTAAGAATAGTAGTAATGATAATGATTATTATTTATATTGTTATTTTATATATTGTTATTTATATTACTACTTTTATGTTATTATATAGCGTTTTTTTTACTGTTTACATATATATATATATATATTTTGTGTGTTTTCATTTTTTATATTTTTTTAAATGCTAGTATCTATATATTTTCATTTTTATGTTTTGTTTTATTTGGTATTTTTATATTGTTTTTTCTTTTTAATATTGTTACTTTAATATTGTTATTCATATATTATAATTTTTACAGTATTTTTTTTTTTTTAATGGCATTATTTAGATATTTTTATTTATAATTATTTGTTTTTATTTTTATATTGTTATTTATTTATTGTTATTTGTATATTGGTATTTTTTTAATTATTAAAATGTTCTTATTTAATTATTGTTATTCATGTGTTATTACTATGTCATTAGATTATTATTACTATTATTGTCGTTGTCGTTGTCGGCCTCGTTTTTGTTGTTTTTGTTGTTGTTGTTGTTGTTGTTGTTATCATCATCGTTATTATCATGCTGATGATTCCTATATAATGCTGATTTATGATTGCTATTGTTAATAGTTATTGTTGTCATTATGATTATGTACTATTGTTCTTGATTGTCTTATGATATTGAAATTGATACATTCATTGTAAGTCACTATTGCCATCTCTATATTATAGTTGTTGTCATTCTTGTGGTGAGCATTTTCGAGTATCGCATTCATACCTCCATGATTGCAATCATTATAATCACGAAAAACCAAGTATCAGTCCCATTCATATTCCATTCATAAGCAATCATTGTCATTACAACTAACCATTGTAATGATTATAATCATTTTCCATTACCCTCTGGTAAACTAACATAACTATCGAACATCACCATTTTGTAGCTGGGTAAATCAACTATAAAATGGCCATTTTCAATAGCTATGTTAGTTTACCAGAGGGTATATCCCATGAATATCCCATTAAATCACTATAAAATCCCATTAAATCACTATAAAATCCCATTAAATTACCAGAGGGTCATCGTTATCATATACTCCCATCAATACGCCATCCCCAACCCCAAGGCGATGGCCATGTGCATCGTGATGATGAAACCCACGGACCCCGACTGGGGCCACCGTGGCGTCACTGTCTCGGGAGCCCTGCCGTCTCAGTTGAAGCTCGGTGAAAGATGGCTATTAAGCCATAGAACACGGATGGATTTTGGGGAGTTTAAACATGGAACATGTTTAAACACCACCGAAAATGGATGAAAATGGGTGTTTCCATCATTCTATAACATATTTTAACCATTTTCATCAACGAAGATCAATTTGAAACCAAAGAAATGCGAGTTCAATCAGCAAGAATGAGGATTTGAATCAATATAAATAGAGATTTGATCAGCACCAATGGCTCTGAGTTTGTTCAACAAGTGGATGGATCTCCATCCAACATATTGCCACTCTAGAAAGATGAAAGTAGGTCCTCTAATTTGCCAAGGGTGAAGTCACTGGGCTAGTGATTTTTTTTCCCCCACGACACATGCGCCAGTTCTTGTAGGTTTTTTCTTGGGTTCTGGGCATTTCAGAAAATTCGCAGGTCAAAACCCAATAGTGGATGGCAAGGGGCTGGCAGCTAACATTCATAACATATCAAGAGTATATAAAGCAATTGTGGATGCTTCGTGATGTTAATCCATTTCTGGTCCAATTTCTGGTTAACATCTTCTGGTGTCTCAGGGTGCAATCCTGCTGCCCGCAGACACGTTTGGCTCACAACGGTCCGTCTCGTAGCGGTCCGAAGGTTGCGCCCAGGGCGCGGACCAAAACGGCAAAAGTTTACGTCGCCCCCGAGGAAGACATGGCCGTGGTGGGCGAAGCAATAAATGTCGAGACGCTTGGAGGATGAACTGGGTTTTAGATATGATGGATCAAACGCCCACGAAAAAGAATACCAGATATTTTGGGGAATCAACATCCTTATGACCTAGAAAACCATCCGGGTACCATCCGGGTACCATCCAGGTTTTGAGCCATATCTTGGATTTTTCATAGCGGCTGCGTTCAAGCCCTCTTGATTTGGAATGTGGATATACAATCCAATATATTGGAGGTGATCACCTTTTAACTGGTAACTCCGTTCTTGACGAGTTTTCTTTTTAGGGACGAAAAGAAGGAACGGAACACTGCTCAGAGTTCTGGGAGATTTCATGGATTTGATCCCTTTCCCCCACCGTAGGACCATAGAATACTTTCTGTAACCATAGAAAGGGGGGGGGCCATAGGGCCATCACCTTGAGGATGGGATTATATACCATGACATACCATGACATACACCACTGGAACCACTGTCTACAGCAAGGAATCAACAGGTTGTGGGCACGCCAGTGAACCTTGCGACCGCTGACAAGAACACAACGAGCTATGTTAGAGCTCCAGTGCGGCCCCCCAGGGCCAGGTAGGGTGAAAAGAGTTCATTTCATATATTATATATTATTTACTATATATTAAACATTAAATATTATATATTATTTATTATATATTATTTATTATATATTAAAGATTAAATATTACATATATATTATTTTAATATTATTTATTATATATTAAATATTAAATATTATATATATATATATTTAATATTATTTATTATATATTAAATATATATAATATATATATATATTATATATTATTTATTATATATTAAATATTAAATATTATACATTATTTATTATATATTAAATATTAAATATTATATATTATTTATTATATATTATTTATTATATATTAAAGATTAAATATTACATATATATATATTTTAATATTATTTATTATATATTAAATATTAAATATTATATATATATTTAATATTATTTATTATATATTAAATATATTATATATTATATATTATATATTATATATTATATATTATATATTCTGTATTCTATATTATATATTGTATATGATATACTATATATGTTATATTTTATATGATATATTATATATGATATATTGTATATGATATATTTATTTTATATATTATATATTATATGTAATATATTATATTATATATGAAATATGATACTAATATATGATATATTATATATGATATATTATATATGATATATTATATATTCTATGTGATATGATATATTATATATTTGGTATTATATATACTATATTATATATAATATATATTATATATTATTTAATATATATACATTATATATTTTATATTTTTCATTATATATGATATTTTATATACGATATATTATATATGATATAGTATATATAAATAATATAAAATATATTCTATATATTATATATATTATATTATATATTTCATATTATATATTACAGTATATATTATACATTTTATATTATATATTATATATTAGTAATAGATGAATGAATGTAAGGAAAAAATCAGTTGTGGGGCCCTGGGCCTCTATCAGTTCTTTTTTGATGGGCCTCCATCTAGCTAGTTGCTTGAAGTGAAGACCAAGGTAGTCCAGGTATCAGTGTTGCTGGTGAAAGTCCCGAGGTTGTTTCGGCGAGCATCCCGCTTTTCTGGTCAACAGGGGTTGGCCACTTTGTGTTGCATAGAAGAGGTTCTTTGTTCTTGGTCAAGCTCAATTTTCCCGACATTTTCATCCATTTTGATCCAATGTCCATCCAATATTCATCCATTTCCTAAGGTTCAACATGGTCATTTCTCCTTTGTCGATTCCCAGGAGGAGCCCTGCTGCTGGGAGCAGTGCTTGATCGGCACCTGCTTCGGCCCCGTGGGGCCCTGTTGCGCTTGTTGGGGCTTCTTCTTGTTGGGCTGGCTCTTCACCATGATCTTCATGAGGGAGGCAGCTGGGATGATGGGATGCTGGGATGATGGGATGGAGCAGCTGGGATGCGGTGAATGTTAGCCTGTTAGCCTGGAAAGATCGAAATATCGAGAACAGTTAGGTGTGTTTTTTAGCTGGCGTTGGACATTTTGGTTGAAACAAAAGCCATGCTGTTTCTTTTTGGTTTGAACAACAAGTGGAATTGAGGGATGGGTCAAACATAGTCTTTGAGGGTTTTAGAGCCACGAAAATTGACGTTTGTTGGTCGTTTTTAGGATCTGGTGAAACAGATAAATTTGAGCCATTACAAATATTACAACCTGGGCGAAGATACCTTCGGCGGGTGAAGGGGAATTCTACGGCGAACAGGTTGAAGCAACCATGCCAAAAGATTTTCATTCTACGACAGATTTGACGCAACTAACATGGTACTATTATGTACTATTGGTGTCCAGTGGTATCCGTCTCCACCAATAGAATCCTCATTTTAACCATGAATTCCAGAGGACCTGGTCGCCAATGTTTGCCGATTAAATGCAGGTGTGCATTGTTGAAGTCAGACATATCTGAAATGGTGGGGCGATAGAGCGGTACCCCCTTTGAGATCCGCCTGTTTGACGCTTCTTGTACATGAAATCCATATTTTTGGCCGATCTCTGCACGTTCTTGCACCTCCCCTATGCTGTTTGGCGAAGCCGCGAAGCCGTGTTTTTCGATGGCTTCGTGCCAGGTGGTGAATCAAGGAACGGACATTTTTTCCTTTGAGGATCCAGCTGTAAAGAGTGATATCAAAGTGCAGGCGTGCGGCGTACGCCGAGTGTGGATGGCTTCTCACGGGATAAGCCATGAAATTCATGGGGAAAATGATAAGAGTAAGCTGATCAATGTAGCAGTACTCTAGCTCTAGTTTCAGATAAAGTAGATCTTCGAATGCATGATAAGTCAACCAATGCTGGATTGAATCGTCTTAGAGTCTTATGGCTTGATTAATATATAGATAATCTATAATAATCTCTCATATTAGATTCATATTTTCCAAATTTGTCTGGAGTTCCATGGCGTTTTTTTTGGTGCAGTATAGTTACGTAAATTTCCCGTCACATCCAATTATGCTCCGATCCTTTTGTAGGGTTTTGGCCAACTGCCCACGGTCCATCATTTGGCATCCCGTCCCAGTCATCTCCATGATGATCAGGGAATCCCGACTTCTGGTGAAATCTGACTTTTTCTGAGTTGAATCCACTTTTTCAATCCACTTTTTCAATCCACTTTTTCAATCCACTTTTGCCACCTTTGTTTCTTCGTAAAACATCGATCCTTTAAAACATCCCTCCTTCACCGGTCAGGAGTATTACGGCTTGCAAGCGGCTCTGGGTGAACGTCCGGGCTGCTCCGATTCGGCCCATGAAGCAGAGGCCTGCCGGCGGGGTGGAAACGTGTGGAAACGTGTGGAGACTTCGGGTTTTTGGCAACGGAAATCCCCTAGAAACCATGGGAACAACGGTGGATCCCGTAGAAACCAGCGGGAAAATCCATGGCTTTGTCTAGAAATAGGGTACTTGCAATTCCAGTGGATTCTCTAATCATTTTCCATATTTAAATGGCCACAAAAAACGGGTGTTTTTGCACCATTTTCAGACATGCCCATTTTTTGGAAATAGGAAATTTATGGGAACATATGGACAATTTCCCGAACGAAATGCAGGGTTTTAATGGAAAAATCTAGGACGAATCATCTATGACTGGGATTTTTGGTTGCCACGTTTGATTGCCCGAGGGTAATCATCAATATTGGGATGGAATCCAGACATGATAGCTGGTTGACAATGCTCATCTGGAGGTTTCCTGGGGAATCCTCCATTGCTGGATGGTTTAGAATGGAAAAGCCTATTAAAATGGATGATGGGGGTGTACCCCCATGTTAGGAAACCTCCATTTAATTTTAGTGGTATGGTATTCTGCTAGCTGGTTTGATGCGGATTCTCATCCACAAATGACGGACATTGCCTTTCCAAACTAGTAGGTTTGGGGGATGCCAGAGTTCTTTTTGCGCACTGCTGAGGGGATTTGCCAAGCCATGAGATATTCAAGAATAGATGGGATGGTTTGATACTAATGATTGAATTCAATCTTCAGAGCAAATGTAGTAAACAAAATACTAAACCTACCGGTTGGGGATAGTTTATACCACCCATTTACATCCATTCTATCTTGTCCTATCCTATGCTGCTATTTCCAATTCCATTTTGATTCATTCTCTTCTCTCCTCTTTTGTTCTATTCTATTCTGTACGATTAAAAAATCTCTAATTGAACTTCTAATTTAAATTTCAAATCTAATTCAATTCTATTCTACTCCAATTTAATTCCATTCTATCTATGGCATTATGGCTTATGTGCAGAAATGAAGTATACCCCACAATTGCAATTTTAATGGGGAAAATTATGATAAAGCAGTGGTTCTTGGCACTTTTATCCAGAAAAAATGGACAACCCCACATAGGTAATACACAACCACTATGTATTTGGGATGAACATCCATGTCAGAATTGCAGGAACAATTTACGGGATGTATCCCTATCTTTATCGCCAAAGTGGACGAATCCCCGTGTTTTTTTCCCTTACCCTCTGGTAATTGAACCTAGCCATGGAACATGACCCACTTGTAGATGATTTACCTCTGATGTCCATGGCAACTTTCCTTCAAAGTCTTTTATTACCAGAGGGAAAATCAACGAATCCAATCATTACTGTAGCTGGTCGGTGGTTTCAAATACTTTTTCTTGAAACATAATCATCCATTATGATGATCTCCTACGAACATTTTTTTCAGGGAGGGTCTCCACCAACCAGATACTGTAGGCCCAAACACCTGACCGGCGGATCCCTACGATAGCTCTTCCCATGCCATTGGCACGTACGTACGAAATGCTAGGTTCAAGAAACGGGGTGGGGTGCGGAGGAATAACGTTCAGTTTCGCTTGCACGCATTGATGCCATGCTAGTTATTGGCTCTTCACTTGCACTTGCACACGTACTTGGTGCACAAGCTGTGAAAGCAAAATCAAAATCAACGTGATTTTTTTGCCGTGGTCAAAAAAGCCAATTTAAATTATTTCACAAAATGATGTTGCCTTTGGGAGAAGACAAGAAGTTTCCATAAATTGCAGTGGAGTGACGCATGTCATGAAGAATTGGACATGTCAAAAATGTGCGGAAATCCACATTCTGTCAACATCATTCAAAGAACCTGCTCGGACAAATCCACGAAAGCCTGGTCCGGTTTCTGGGCCGTAAGGTAATATTTGTCAATACTCAACAGTTCGCTATCCATGTTTCATTTGTGGATTGTAAACCATATCCAACTGGAACCCCAAAAAGATGCCGAGAAAAGTTATTACCTGGAAAGTCTGGGGAAACACCGAGACCACAACATCCGGCGACACACTTGTCTACGGCATCTTTTTGGGGGTCGCCTTTTTTTTCCATTTCCTGAGGTGTCAGCAAACTGTCTTTATCACTGTCGAACTAATGACAAAGCATGTCGAACTAGAATAGTAATCTTTGTTTCAACAATGATGTTTTTTTCTAATTTGATTATGGTTCATAGTTTGAAATACATTTATAATACTTGATAGTTTTAAAAACCATATCCAACCTAATGAATATCGCATCTATAGTAGTGAGTTTTTATATCACATTTATAGGAACATTATAACATTTTAGTAACATTTATCTATCCATTAATTCCAACATTTTATAGTTAATAACTATCCATTATAACATGGCATTTATAACATTTTAACTATCCATTAATTAACTATCCATTTAACTATCCATTTTATAACTCTTCTTTTCCACGGGTAACAGCTCCACCCATTGGCTCCCCATGGCGCCAGGCTGTCTGCAACGCAGACGAAGCCTGCGTTTGGGAAACGTCCCTGGTCCGACTGGGGAGGTCAAAAAATCCATGGCCAAATGGTGACTTTATGGGATTTACAGGGGATTTGAAAATGGGACTTTAACGGGGTTATGTTTAAAATTAGAGTTTGTAATCATTGAGAACTCATGGTGATATCCTAAGAATATTAGGGTTTGTAATTCCTAATATATTTTGTTTATAATTCATTTCTAATATTCATTACTCTATATATATATAATTATATATATTCTTCATGGAGATTTTCATGGGATATCCTCTGGTGTCATCAAACTCCTGGCCTTGGGAAATCCGGCATGGATGGGTAGTCAGAGCATGGGTAGCCTATTGGTGGAGTTTCCATCAAACCACCACCAGATGGTTACTGGTTTGATGGAAACTTGTATATGGAAATAGATTTTGATAACAAGTGGTTTACATTCTCAGATATGCAAATTCCACCACTTGTATGTCGACAGTTTGATGGAAGAACACACGATTTTCCATCTCTGAATGGAAACCAAGAAAATTCTTAAGCCATTAAGCCACGGTCAAGTCATTATTAATCCAATTACCAAGCAGTGATTGTATTGATCTCTTTTCATTGGGACCCGAATCAAGAGACCTGGTGGTTGATGGGGATACCGGAGATGGTTAGGAAAAATCCTGGAGGTTTTAATGGGCACATGATCTATTATTTTTGTGGGATTTTCCACGCTGCCACGTGTGTCTACACCGGAGGGTGTAGCATTTGTTGCTTGGGGATACTGGTTTCCACGGGGATGAGCCAACCAGTCTTGACTGACATCTCTATTCAGATTGGATATGTTGCCAGGTTGTTTCTTCATGGTCATGGTATATCCTTTATTGAACATTTGTTATTGGAGGGCTATTTTTTTTGGGATTTTTTTCCCGTTTTTTTTTGTTTTTTTTTCCCGTTTTCTGGTGGAAGGAAGGTGCGAAGAAGGAAGGAAGGAAGGAAGGAAGGAAGGAAGGAAGGAAGGAAGGAAGGAAGGAAGGAAGGAAGGAAGGAAGGAAGGAAGGAAGGAAGGAAAGGAAAAGGAAAGGAAAAGGAAAGGAAAAGGAAAGGAAAAGGAAAGGAAGGAGGGAAGGAAAGGAAAGGATGGGAAGGGGAAGGAAGGAAGGAAGAAGGAAGGAAGGAAGGAAGGAAGGACCATGTGTGCAGTCAACACTTGCAGCTTGCAGCCACCACGGGCAGCGTGCAAAGTGCTGCTGAGCTGCTAGAGCTGAGGGGTTTCCAAGACTATTTTCTGGCCTTGTCCGGGCCTCGTTTTGGCATCGTTTTTGGCCTCGTTCGGAACCCGTCGCAGAAATACTGAGGTGAGATGCAAGTCAGAGCCACATAGATGTGTGACCAAAGCATACCAAAACATACATGAACCATGCGCTCACATTTTGTTTTAAACCAAAAAATGACTTTTCTTAGATGTACTTGTTTTAACCGGCTCCCCTTGCTACCTACTCTGATTCCTTTTTCAGAAGCATCATCGGTTATTTGCGTTCATTTCATCTTCATTGATCTCCATCGCGACTTGTGCCTATGTACTTCTTTCATGTTCTTTCTTGGTACGCATTGCAGGGGACCCCCCCACCCGCTTTTGTTTTTTCATCGGCTTCCCTTGCTACCTACTCTCTTGCCTTTTGCTCATAAGCATCGTTTCTTAGGGTTCGTTTTCTCTTTCTTCTTCTTTCAAAATATCCATCGAGACACGCATTGCGGGGGGAGGCGCTGCGCCCTCCCCCCTGCACCCCCCCACCCGCTTTTATTTTTAAACCGGTTCCCCTGACTACCTACTATTCCTTTCTTTTTGCATAAGCATCATGGTTTATTTGGGTTAATTTCATGTTTGTTGATATCCATCGAGACTTGTGCCTATGTGCTTCTTTCTTGATCTTCCCGTTCTTACTTGCAATATATCCATTGAGACTTGTGCCTATGTGCTTCTCTCTTGGTACGCATTGCGGGGGGAGGCGCTGCGCCCTCCCTCCTGCACCCCCCCACCCGCTTTTATTTTTAAACCGGTTCCCCTTGCTACCTACTATTCCTTTCTTTTTGCATAAGCATCATCGTTTATTTGGGCTAATTTCATGTTTGTTGATATCCATCGAGACTTGTGCCTATGTGCTTCTTTCTTGATCTTCTCGTTCTTACTTGCAATATATCCATTGAGACTTGTGCCTATGTGCTTCTCTCTTGCTACTGCTACTGCTACTGCTACTGCTGCTGCTGCTGCTACTGCTACTGCTACTGCTACTACTGCTACTGCTACTGCTACTGCTACTGCTGCTGCTGGCTGCTGCTCCTGCTCCTGCTGCTGCTGCTGCTACTACGACGACGACGACGACTACTACTACTACTACTACGACTACGACTACGACTACGACTACGACTACGACTACGACACTACGACTATACGACTATACGACTATACGACTATACGACTATACGACTATACGACTATACGACTATACGACTATACGACTATACGACTATACGACTATACGACTATACGACTATACGACTATACGACTACGACTGTACGACTATACGACTACGACTACGACTACGACTACTACTGCTGCTGCTGCTGCTACTGCTACTACTGCTACTACTGCTACTACTGCTACTACTGCTACTACTGCTACTACTACTACTACCACTACTACTACTATTTTTTTTTGATCTAGGTTTGCAGCACGAAACCCGTGAGGTCTCACACAGTGGCACCTGATTTTTTTTTTGATGCACATTTTTTTTTTTGATGCGTGCTGGATATTTTTTTTGATGCATTTGTATTTTTTTTTTGATACGTGTCTCCACCGGCACGTTGTTTCCATACCTGTTGCCACCCGTGAGACTTTATTTGTATGTGCTTGTGGTCACATTTGCCATTCACACGAACTATTTCGACGCGATGCAACCAGACTCATACCAGCACTGTGGGCTGAAGAAGCGCCGTTCGAAACTGTTAGCACACAAGCAAACATAGATCATAAGTGCAAGCAAGAGCACAAACGAAACCGCACCAACCAACTAACCAACCAACCAACCAACCATCCATCCATCCATCCATCCATCCATCCAACCACAACAACAACAACAACACCATGCAAATCAGAGAGCTTAGCTGCAAAACGCTGCAAATACCAATCAAAACCATCAAACCCCAAAAAACGGGAAACAAATCCCAAAAAAAAACGGGGAAAAAATCCCAAAAAAAATTGCAGCCCTTTGTTATTTTGGGAAATGCCATTTCTTTTTTTAGTACAGTGATGCGCCGTCAGATCTGAATCACGTGATCAGCACACCTCCAGCTGTAGTTTCCTGAGTCCAAAAACAAGGCGCCCCATGTGTGTTCCGGGAAATGAAGGGTATACCGGTATACCCTCCAAATATCAAATTATTGTTGGGCTATCATAGATACACATTTCACCTATCTGGAAATATCATATATATATAACCATCCCATCATATTTTTTATACTACTTGGGGGGTGCAGTTCGGGGTTACACGTGGATATTCTGCCTCCCAAGGAACCCCCGCAGGGGAGACCGATGTGTGGACAAGGAATGTCCCGGCACGCCTCCACGCCCGCGGGAGGCCCGCGGGAGAAGGGTAGGAGAAGGATTTCCGCAACAAGAACGGAGGTATGATGGGATATAGTAGGGACATCATGGGGTGTACCCTCTGGTAAACTAACATAACTATGGAAAATCACCATTTTCAATGGGTAAATCCACTATATATGGCAATTTTCAATAGCTATGTTAAATTACCAGAGGGTAATGGCACTTACCCTTCTGGAAATCAGTCGCGTGGCTGTTTTTCGCTGGGAACATCATCGAACTGTTCAGAACGGGCATCTTCCAGCAAGCCACGTTTGATGACACCGGAGGGTACGTTGGGGGTTTACCCAGAAATGGGGCAATGGTTACCTCAAGAAACACCATTTGTTGTTGAAAAGAATAAACCAATGGTTGTTGGAGGTAGTAGACCTGGACTTGAAGTGACCTTGTTTGATAACACCACGCATCCACCATTGGTTAGTGCGAGGAATGTGTGTTTTTTTCTTGCAAATCCAAGTGTAGGTTTCGGGGCCACTATAGAATGAGTGCGGATATTTGCGACCAACATATTTGAGATATTTTAAGGATATTTTCTAGATGAAGAATACTCCTATTCCTGCAAAACATCCACAAAGAATGAGGGTCACAAGTCACCTGTTCCTTTCTTCCCAGTTGACACAAGGTCCCCGACCTATTCTCGGGCTGTATGTACTTCAAGGACGGTTTGAGGTTGTCTGAAAATAGAGTACCCCAAAATATTAAGGCTACTCAGCATATGTTCCATACATTGATATGTAAACGTGCCACTTTATTCATTTCCGCATTTTCAGCATAGCTCATCCTTCTAAAATTCTGTGGAGCGGTAGTGAATACTCTGGCAATCTAAATGGGATACATCCCAAGCTTAGCAATTTTAACGGAGAAAATGAGCTAAGATTCTGCAGATTTTCCTCCATTTTTGGCTTGCACAAACCACATCCATCATTTTCAATAAGATCACCGGTAGAATGTGGGGATAGCCGTGGATGGTTTCGCTACCAGCCAGATCACAGCTGGTTCCATTCCCATCTCTTGGAGGCGCCCTTGTACTTAGACTTCCTGCCGGCCTTCATTAGCGTCATCTACGAGGACGAATGACGAATGAGTTTTTGGACGTTTTGAGCCAAGAAAATGGCTCTGATTTTGGAGTGGATATGGTTTTTTCCCCAAAAATGGTTGGTTTATAATGGAAAATCCTACTCAAATGGATGGATTTCATGAGTGATGAACATCGATCGTGGCACATGCGATTCTTTGGTATGGACCTAAAGTTTCAGACAAAGGGAAAGAACCACATTTTGATGATGGTTCCTTGCCATGAAACATCATACATTTGAGATACTATATGCAGCAAATCACGAACCATCCATCTCCTTTTATCCATCTCCCTTTGTGGCGATGTTGGATGGAAAAACACGCAGTTTCTACATTGTACATAGTTACATAGTATCCTTGGGTAGTCAAGCTGTAGTTGAGAGCCCATGACAAAAACTTGTGACTTGTGAACATTCTGCTGGTTGCTGGGGGCTGGGTAATACATTCAGGTCGAATCGTTGTGGCTCGTCACCCTAGTGCTATGTCGCACCAACATGGTTGATCCGACTGTACATGATTCCCCAGTTCGCATGTTTTTCCTTTGGGGAATGAGGTATTTCCTCAACCCCAGAGTCGTTTCAACTACAGTTTACAACATCCCACAGTCGATCATCATGTTTCCCATTGCGGCTTGCGGTCTATGGGAGCAAATTCGTTGGTTTGAAACAGCTGCAGAACCACAAGTATTGATTTAATTCCTTTAATTTTTGAGGTAAACCGTTGGAACCCAGCATGTGCTGTTTAAAACAGGTTCACCGTTAACCCCCCCGGCTACGGCCGCGGGTAAATCCCCCGCAACTCAGCCATCTGTTACCGTTGCGCCGTTGGTGGTAACGCTAGGCGCAAGGGGAGAACGGCAACATCTTGGACGACGATGTGTTGCAGGTGATCATGGACTACGAAAAGGCGTGAGCAGTAACGAAAACCTCTGTTGATGATTGACTAAAATAGATGATACCCTCTGGTAAACTAACATAACTATGGAAAATCACATTTTTTTTATGGGAAAAACAACTATAAATGGCCATTTTCAATAGCTATGTTAAATCAGTGGAGGCTTTGAGAGGGTGGAATCAGCTGTAAGAGCTGCCCGTTGGGGACAGGAACATCTTCGTAGCATTGGTTGAAAGTGGTTAAGAATCCCGTGAATGTGGTTAAATAGTGTTGAATATCCGGTTATGATACCATGTTCATTTGGCTTTATGTCAGCATATTCTTGAGTTAAACCTTGACTTGGTTTCAGAGAAAGCTTATGATGCAGCAACCTCCTACATGTCTGTGACAACAGGTGAGGGATTTCCTACAGAATTTCAGTTAAGCACTCTTAAACCTTTGTGATCCTTCTGCATGTCATGTCACTTTCGAGGAACTCTTTACGGACGTTGCTGGTGCTCAAATGGACTACAAGGGTGAGAAGCGGGCGTCCAAATGGACTGACGATCCTGGGTGAATCCCTTGGTAAAACCAATCCAGGGCCGATGCCGAGGGGATCCAAAGGCTTGTTGTGTAGGAACTGCTATGGGTCTTTCCGCTGGGATCCAAGATCTTAACTCCAGCTGTTAAGCTGTTTTTTTGGTTTCTCTCACGCAAAAATTCGTGTAAGATGCTCAACAACCATTCCTGCCAGCAACGGACATTCTCACCGGATATATATTCACACACAATTGGGGTATGGAGATTCATTGGTTGCTAGGCATGAGGCTAGTCATGAGAAGGAACCCCACGATGCCACGTCCAGCAGGCAACACAAGTCACTCTGGTGGTGATGTTCCATCACGAAAGGTACCATCTGGTTATTTAACATAGCTATGGAAAATCCCCAACATAAATGGAGGTTTCTAGCTGGGAAAATAATCTATTTCTATGGGCCATCTATACCATAGCTATGTAACAAATAACCAGAGGGCATATCCCATTAATATCCCATTAAATCCCATTAAACCACCATTAAATCCCATTAAACCACCATTAAAGCCCATTAAACCACCATTAAATCCCATTAAACCACCATTAAATCCCATTAAACTCTTGTGGTGCTACCTTGAGTTTTACTTTACGAGGTCAAGGGGAGGGTGGAGCACGGTGGAGCACGGTGGAGCTCCCGCTTACTGTAGCTCGATTCCACAACTCTTAAGCGTAGCTGGCCTAGTGACGGTTGATCAGTGCAACGGTGATCATGGTGATGTTTTGATATCATTATATATATATATATACATATTATATATATATATGTATATATATATATATATATATGTTGTGAATTTCCACTTGTTGCCCAGGTTCCTTTGCTTGAACAGCAATCAGAAGCCTCTGAACGCTGTAGGCACATGCGGCTCAGGGAGCCCCGGGAGAAGGCGGGTTGGGACATAACTCGTGCCTTGCTGCCATAGTTTGAGCTTGGGAGCTCACCCGTGCCGGTGACATTGAGCGTGGACGCTCTGTGGTACGTTAGCTTGGTAGCCATAACCTGGATCAGCAGTGTTGCCTTTCAGAAAAGGTTGTGGGCGCTTCCTGGAGCGGTGTGGTGATCGTGGAGGAGCCTTTTAACTAGTGTCCCCATCATAGGGGTTATTTGCTTCGGGTGTTCGACATCACTTGTGTCTTCAAGGGGATTTGGAAGAGCCTGCATCCAGTTTACACTGGTAGCGGAGCTCCACCGGGTATTTTGACGGTGGGGCATCCGGGGCAGTATGTCACAAGCCTCTACGGCAGCCGACAGTGGACTGGGAGTTACAAACCAATTAGCTTCACTGGTCCCGGCGTTTGACCCAAGTGTTGATGACGTTCTCATTTATCAGCAGAAGGTGGAGTTGGTGGCAGCAGCATGGCCAAAGCAGCGCTTGACCGAATTGGTCACCAGTCTGATTTTGGGGTGCAAAGGCAGTGCATTCCAGAAACTTCAGCTCCATCAGACCGAACTGTTGTCAGGTGAGATGAAAGCAGTGCATAAGCTTGTAGAACTACTGGGTGGACATTGGGGCAAAATCCCTTTACAGACCCAATATCAGGATGCAGAGCGTGCATTGTTTGAGACGCATCAACATCAAGATGAGTCCAACGACAGCTACATAGCAAGGGCAGACATTTTGTGGTCCCGTTTGCTGAGCCGAAAGATGGATGTCTCAGAGCTGCAAGCCTATATTCTCCTACGGGGATCCTTGCTAGCAACTGAAGAAAAGAAACGTGTGATCCTCGAATCCGAGAAGGACGGAAAACTGACTGTTGAAAAGGTCACTGATGCTATCAGAACCTTAGGTGCCGTTTTCTTTCAGGAGATGACAGGCCAGAAAAAGGCCACCCGAACCAAGGTTTATGATCAGGCCAATCTGACCATGGATGCAGCAGGTGATGATCCACAGGAATCGGAGTCAGCATTGAATGCAGCGGAGGACACACTGGACGACTTCATCGAAGAGATGGTCCAAGAAGGTGACTCAGATGCATTGCTCATTGCAGACTATGAGCAAGCAATGACGGAGACCCTGCAGGAAGATGCTGAGTTAGCAACAGCTTACTCAGCCTACCAGCAAGCCAGACATCGATTGACAGAGCGATACAAGAACCGTGGATTTTGGCCAGCCAGGCCATTTACTGGAAATGCCTCCAAAGGCAAGGGCTATGGAGGTTTCAAGGCATCTGGAAAGGGCAAATCCTTTAATCAGCCTCGTCGCAATCGATCTTTGCAAGAAAGGATCATGAACTCATCGTGTAGACTGTGTGGCCAAAAGGGCCATTGGAAAGCTGAGTGCCCGATGAAACCATCGGGATCCCAAGCGTCGACCAGCACCAATGCAGCTCCAACCACCACCGTGGTCACAGAGGAGATTGATCCGCTGCCCTTGGAGTTCCGACAGCTGCCGATGTCATCCGAGATCATGCCATTGGAGGTAGTGCCTGTCCCGCAGCATAGTTTTTTTGAATGTTTTGTGTCCATTTTGGAACAACCAACTAGTCAGTTCATGTACAGGGGTAGGATTCTGGGGAAATCTAGAAATGTGCATGAGCCCATGGAAACTCCGGCAATGTCAGCCAGAGAACGCCTCAGGAAACGTCTGATGATTGGTGAATCCATGATCGCCAGCCGAAATGCAGTGAAGTCCGATCGTAGTTCATCCGTCAGTTTTGTACAGACACCAAACCAGTCCAGAACATGTTTCAAGAAGGAAGTCTCCATGCCACATAATCATGTTCCATGTGAACCAGCCCTGTTTGCAACTCACAGTACGTTTGGCGTTTTGGACCTCGGTGCTTCAAAGACAGTAATTGGTGCAGATAATGTCCGGGAGTTGATTGAGGGTTTGGATCCCATAATTCAGAAAGGTCTTTCACGTTGCCCGTGTGATGTAACTTTTCGGTTTGGAAACCAAGGGACTCTCACCAGCACGATGGCACTTGTGGTACCCATTGGAAAACTTCAGCTGAAGATCGCAGTGGTCCCAGGTAAGACTCCTTTCCTGATCAGTAATACCCTCATGAGAACTCTTGCAGCGCAGATAGACTGCGAGCACCGAAAGTTCTGCAGTGCCAAGCTAGATCAACCGATCGCCATGCACTTAACCAGTCGCGGCCTGTTCTTGGTTGATTTGAATGAGATCGCACTGTCAGCCCGACGTCATGCCTTGCACAGCAGTGACTTAGCGAAGCCTGTCACTGAGACCTTTTTGTCCGACACCGCCCACATAAAAGTTGACGCCGTTAAGCCAGTGGGAGTTGCAGTCAGAATTGCCGAAATTGAAAACCGAATTCAAAAGAAACCAATGGAAGAATCTGGAATTCAGATCGTCAGGGAAAGCAGTCCATGTTTTGCCAAAGCCTCTGAACCAGATGAAAGCAAAACCGTGAGCCTCATGTCCAGTGTTGAAAACCATAATCCTGGGTCAGCCTCGGCCCAAGATAGGACATCCGCAGGAACCTCGATCTTTCCAGAACGATCCCATCATGTCGCTGAGCCAGCGCTTGAAGGCCTTGCAACTGAGTGCTCCCTCCGAAGTGGAGGACCTGAGTCATCTGACTCTTCCGGAACTCGAGAACGAGGTGATCACCTTCGGGAGCAAGTACAACGGCATGACCCACAGCCAGGCTTGGCCGGATCAGGAATGGTGCCAGTTCATGCTGAACCGGTATGGGAACAGTGCCAAGACGGCCCATCGCCGTGCCATCAGGTTCATCGAGCTCAAGATCGAGCAGCACGAACAGTCGCAGCTGCCCATTCCGAAGATGCAAAGCCAGGTGTCCCGTCCAGTGGGACTGAACATTGCCTCCAAAGCCAAGGCGAAACCACAGGCCAAGGCCAAAGGGGGCGCATCTCACCAAGGAGTCCATGCCAGTCTGAACATGCCCAGTTGTTCGCACGGCCAGATGGGAGAGGACGACGAGGTCTGGGATTGGAATTCCGAGATGTATGCATCGGAGACCATGATGCCGAATCCCTTGCAACAAGATCCCGACTTCCTCGCCATGAGAGATCGAATGCTGTTCATGGAGAATGCTCTTCAGCGAGTGATCCAGCACATCGAGCAGAACACCAACACAGCCGAGCCAGTGACCAGCCCAGAGGAATTTCCGTAGAAGCTGCAGCCAGGAACAATGATGATTCAGCGTTCACAGCAATGCATCGGGATGCCTCCCATGTTCAGAAACTCATTAGGCAATTTTCCAAGGAATTGAATCAAAAGTGTCAAGAAGTAAAACCACTGGGAAAACCATTTTGCCTAGCCGAAGTCTTTTGCAGTGAACGATCACCATTGACGCACCAGATGCAGCAGCTTCAAGAGGGAGCGTTCCGTTTTGGATATGACCAGGGTGATTTGGCCACGACTGCCGGCCGAGGAAAATTGTTCACCATGATGGTCCAACATCGACCAAAACATGTCTGGATGAGCCCGGATTGTGGACCATGGTCATCCTGGGCGCAGCTGAATGCCTCCCGATCTCCAGAGGCACTTGAGGCCTATCAGCAACGAAGGCATGAGCTTTTGTATCAACTTGCATTATGCATTGTCCTGTTCAGATATCAGTATCAGCAGGGGTTGCATTTTCATCTTGAACAACCACTCCGATCAATGATGTTGTACAGTCCCTGGCTTAGTGAAATTCGTCATCATACCCAGCTCTGTCAGTTTGATATGTGCAAGGTAGGTGAACTGAAATGCCCACAAACTGGAATGTACATGCGCAAAAGTATGGGAGTGATGACAACAAATCCATCGTTGTATAAGTTTCTTCATGGAAAAGTATGCAATCGGGAACATAATCACCAAGCCATTGAGGGCAGCATCCCAGGACCCAGTGGAATGATGTACAGAACTGAATTCACAGCGGTGTATCCCCGAAAGTTTGCCAGAGCTGTTGCCCAAGTCCTTGGGAAAGGTACCAATGAGTGGCCGTTCATGTGGCAACCTGGCATGATCGCCAGAGTCCGCTGCCAAGATCCATGCCACGCCAAACCGGAAGCAGCCCCGGCATACGTTTCAGAACGTTCAAGGACCATTCAGAAACCATCCACTCACAAAGACAGATTTACAAAATCAGAAATCACCATTCCAACTGCAGATGACCATCCTTCCAAGAAACGCCGCGTCACCGGAAAACATCATTCAGAACCTAGCCTTGAGAAGTTTCAGGATGTTATCAAAAGAATCAATGTCATAGCACCACGTGTTGGTAAGCTGGAGATCAATAATGTATCCATCCTTCACCAATTGGAAGACCTTTTTGGGGATAAAGAGATTGTCAAGGTGATTGCCTGTCGTGGTACGGATCGGACCATCGGCCCACCAACCAATTTGCTAGCAGCGCAAGCCCCGTTCCGAAAGGCACTGATGGTAGCACGACCCACTGGCGAAGTACAGGTTGAAACTCACCGGGAGAACTGGTCAATGTTATCCAAGAGACAACTCATCAGACCTTCGCATGCCTGTAGATTGAACATCACTATGTTTGCTCGGAATCGTGAAAGCAGCCAGCTCCCGAGAGCCAGTCTCGACGCCCCCAGCCAGCGACCCGTGACGTCTGCAGATCCGAATTTGAATCATCCTCCGAACGCAGCGGAGGAAGAACCAAGATCAACGGCAGCACCTGTGTCAGCACCCATTGAGACCGAAAGTTCCCCTGTCCCGGAATCTGAAATGATCCCATTGGACGGCACCACGAGCCAGGACTCTGAAGATAACCATGCGCATGGTATGAACTTTTTACGGTTACCCAAATGGGAACAAGCCAAGTTGTTGCAAATGCATCGGAATCTGGGACATCCGTCCAATGAAAGACTTGCCAAAGCCTTAGAATCCAGTGGTCAGAGACCTGAGCTGGTCCAAGGTGCTCTTGACATCAGATGTGCAGTGTGTTCCGCGTGCAGTCCACCGAAACATCAAAGACCCGGAACCCTAAAGCCCATGATGGATTTTAACTACAAGATCTATATTGATGGAATAACATGGACAAACCAACAGGGGAAATCCTTTCATTTCTATCACATCCTTGATGCGGGAACCAACTATCATGTAGCCATAATTGCCCCATCACAGACTACTCAAGATGTAATTCATCTCCTCAATCAACATTGGATCAGTTGGGCTGGAGCACCTCATGAAATCCAAGTCGATTCGGGAACCGAACTGAACAGTGAGGAATTTTCCCGGTACATGCAAACCATGTCCATAAAACCAACCACCATTTGTCCGGAAGCCCATTGGCAAAATGGTAAGATTGAGAGACATGGCCGGTTTCTTCAAGAGATGTTGGTAAAGATGGACCTTGAACACAACATCCAAGAATATCCTACACTTCAAAGGGTTTTAAACCAATGTACGCAAGCTAAGAATGCACTCAGTGTGCGGCACGGATATGCCCCAGAGGTGATAGTATTTGGAAGACACACCCGAGTGCCAGGGTCAATTCTCAGCGACGAGTCCATCCCATCGCATGCAATGGCCACCAATCCAGAAAGTGGTCTCGACGCCTCGGAATTTCAGAAGATGCTGAAGATCCGAGAAAATGCCCGGAAGGCCTTCCACAGTGTGGATAACAGTGAAACCCTTCGCAGAGCCATCCTGAGAAGATCATGTCCTCACCGGGGAAAGTATGAATCTAATCAATGGGTTATGATCTGGCGTAATCATAATGTGAACCAACCCAATTGGATCGGTCCCCATAGGGTAATTATACAGGATGGTAATCACACAGTGTGGACAACCACAGCCGGAAAACTATTCCGTTCAGCTCCAGAACATGTGCGACTGGCCCTGCCGGAAGAAGGAATGCCCTGTGGTCCTGAGCTCCCGGAAGATTTGACAGCACTCCAGAACCAGATTGACAGAATGAATAACCAAAGTGTTCGGGTAGATTTCCCCAGTATGGTTGATCCCTCCAATAATCCTGATGAACCCATAGTCCCAGAAGATAATGACATGGATAACAGGGATCAGAATCCAGCTGAGGAAGAAGAAACACAGAGCCTTCGAACATCCCAACAGCCTGATCAGGAACCAGAAGCCAGTAGTCAAGATCCTAGCATTCCATCCGAAAGCACCCAAAGTGAAGAAGAGGAAGAAGCATTCATGATATGTACCGAAGAACCAGGAGCCCTGTTGAGCGAAACTCCAATCGACCTAGCCTGGAAATGTGAGTTTGACATACCAATACCAAACACATATGATGCTTCGGACTTATCTGCGGTTGAAGCTTGGACCATGCTGGCATCCTCTGCCCGAAAGCAACGATCAGAAGTCAGACTTGGCGAACTGTCCAGACAGGAGAAAGCCGAGTTCGAAGTCGCCAAACAAGCCGAGATTGACAATTGGATCAAAACGGGAACAATCAGCAAAATACTCAGAGATCAAATTCCACATGATCAATCCCAAAGTGTAGATGGATCCTCACATGGAAGCCATTGGACTCCACGGAAATTACTGCCAATTCCAAGAACCCAAAAGGGAAAACTCATCGAGCAAAAGCTCGCCTAGTGGTATTGGGATATCTAGATCCAAAATTAGACCAAATACCCCGGGATTCCCCAACCCTTGGAAAAACATCCCGAATGTTAGTTCTCCAGACCATAGCATCACACCAATGGGAGCTTACTTCATTCGATGTTAAAGCAGCTTTCTTACAGGGGACCCCACAAAAGGGACGAATCATTGGAATAGAACCTGTACCTGAACTCCAGAAAGCCATGAACATGCAAGTCCACGAAGTAGGAATTCTCAATAAAAGTGCGTACGGACTCATCGACGCACCATACTTGTGGTATAAGGCATTCGTAGAACACTTGCTGCAGCTGGGAATGGAACCATGTCCATTTGATCCATGTCTTTTCGTTTTGCGCGAGGGACCCGAAACGAACCAACCAGGAGCACTCAATGGAATTCTAGGAATCCATGTTGACGATGGTATTTGTGCGGGAAACCATAAGTTTCAAGAAGTTCTCCAAAAGATCGAAGCCAAATATGCATTCGGATCCAAGAAAGTGCAATCCTTCACATTCACGGGAATAGACTTGTGCCAACATGGAGATTACAGCATTTCCCTAAGTCAATCAAGCTATGTCCGGAAAATTAACCCCATAAGCATAGAACCTCATCGTAAAACCCAGACCGATGCACCGGTAAGCGAACCTGAGCGTGCTTCCCTAAGGGGGTTAATAGGATCACTCCAATACGCAGCTGTCAATACTCGACCAGATTTATCCAGCAGGTTATCCCAACTCCAATCATCAATCAATTCAGCAACCATCGAGAACCTTCAGGAAGCCAACCGACTCCTACATGAAGCCAAACGCCACCATGATGTAACAATCACCATAAAATCCATTCCCCCGAAACAATTCCGATTCATGGGATTCTCTGATGCGTCATTTGCTTCAGTAAAGAAACCAGACTCACATGCCGGACTTATCATTGTCGGGACCCACCAAAACATCAGTGAAAATAAGCAATGTGTCATTAGTCCAATTTCGTGGGGAAGTCGTAAAATTCAAAAGGTTGTAACCAGTACATTATCAGCAGAAACCAATGCACTTGCATCCGCAGTGGATCAATTAAGTTGGCTAAGGCTATTCTGGGAATGGTTACACAATCCTAAGACCCCTTGGAAGAAACCCGAAGAAGCTTTGACACGAATCGCACCAGCCATCTCCGTAGCTACATCTCCAGCTGAAATGGATGTTGCGGTCACAGACTGTAAGTCGCTCTTTGACTTGATCACCCGCACAGCACCTCCACAGTGCGCTGAGTTCAGGGTTGCTTTGGTTGCTCGAGCCATAAAGGACTCTCTCCAAGAGGGAATAGATCTTCGCTGGGTCTCAACAGGAGCACAATTAGCGGACGCGCTAACCAAAGTGATGGAATCTCAGTTTTTGCGAGAGACGTTAAGATTAGGCACTTACAAACTGACGGATGAGAGCTCCTTGTTGCGTGACCGAGCCCGCACGCGTGACAGAGTTCAATGGCTGAAACAACAATCCAATGAGAACCACTCCAATGAAAATGCTGTTCAATCAACTAAAGAAAAATAGCGAGTGTGAATTTCCACTTGTTGCCCAGGTTCCTTTGCTTGAACAGCAATCAGAAGCCTCTGAACGCTGTAGGCACATGCGGCTCAGGGAGCCCCGGGAGAAGGCGGGTTGGGACATAACTCGTGCCTTGCTGCCATAGTTTGAGCTTGGGAGCTCACCCGTGCCGGTGACATTGAGCGTGGACGCTCTGTGGTACGTTGGCTTGGTAGCCATAACCTGTATCAGCAGTGTTGCCTTTCAGAAAAGGTTGTGGGCGCTTCCTGGAGCGGTGTGGTGATCGTGGAGGAGCCTTTTAACTAGTGTCCCCATCATAGGGGTTATTTGCTTCGGGTGTTCGACATCACTTGTGTCTTCAAGGGGATTTGGAAGAGCCTGCATCCAGTTTACAATATGTATATATATATATGGGTATAAGTAAATTAGCTAATGGGAGTTCTAAACCCACTTATTGTAGGTTTTCCAACAGAATGGGCCACCGACCATTGAGACCCACCGGCTTGGCTCCATTGAACCTGGCCAAAATCGCGCCGAGGATTGGTGCCTGTTGAGCTATCCCCAACTTCCCATGGGGCAGCCCAAGTGCGCTTCAGGCGACCTGGAGAGCCTGAGAATCCGTTGAATGTTGAGGATGATGATAGCCTCTGGTTATGACTAACAGTTTGCCATGGAAAATCACCATTTTTTATAGGTAAACCATCTATTTCTATGGGATTTAATGGTGGTTTAATGGGATTTAATGGGATATTAATGGGATATACCCTCTGGTTATTTAACATAGCCATGGTTTTTCGATGGCCCTAATCGAAATAGATGGTTTACCTATTAATAAAATGGGTGGATTTTCCATGGCGAACTGTTAGTCATAACCAGATGGTAATTGATGAGTATTTCTGAGAGTCTCGTGGCAGACAATCATGAGAATCATGGTATGAAACAGATTCATACTGCTGAAGTTTTCAGACCACAACGACAATGATCATATTCATGATAATGACATATCATATTCATATTCATATTCATAGTCAAATTCATATTCATATTCATATTCATAGTCAAATTCATATTCATATTCATATTCATATAGTGTGCAGAATTCGCATCCAAGTGACTAAGTGTCATGACGGCAGGCGTGGGTCCAATGAACATGTTTACCATGAATGCTGCGGGGCGCGCCACGACGAAGCAACAGATCCTCTCTGGGCACCAGATGATGGGCGGAGGACCCATTGCCTGTTCCATGGCTATATCAAACATCAAAAATGGAGGCTTTTTAAAGGGACAATGTGGGAAAATTATGAGAAGATATGGGAAACTATGGGCCTTTTATCAATGGATGATTTTATGGAAAATTCGCCATTTAGCTCGATGAAATTTACAGAAACCTCTATGGCTGGTTCGAGGAATTCCCAGCCATGATAGGTTTGAAAATCAACATTTGAGGCTAAACGGCTTGTCGCGGAATTTGAAAAGCCCACGATTCCATGATGTATCCACATTTTCCTAGGCATCCCTAGAAACTTTCCATGTTTGGCGTGTTTCTGCATTCTAAACAGCCTTAAGTGAAGCCAACACAAGCAGATCGCACCCTTGATCCGTTGCCACCCGCTGAGGCATGTGTGGTGATTCGGATGCCTGCAGCATTTGCAATGCGGACGGCAGTGTCCTGGGTGCGCCTGCCACAAACAATATGACGGAAATCATGATGAACGCCCAGTCCATCCTGGCTGCGTGGCCCGTAGACGCTCGGAATGTTATGGAATGTTATGGAATGTTATGGAATGTTATGGAATATTATGGAATGTTTGGATTGATGGGCTATGAAAAATGATGAAGATAAAGGACATCCTCAGGATTTTGGAGAATCAATGGATGCCTTGCGACTGAAGATGGGTGGTTTTTGTTGGAAACCCTGGGAACTCAGGGGAATTCAGGCCACGGCAAGCTGATGTTGTTGTTTGATTGGTACTACTATCGTATAAACATAGAATGGACATAAGAATATCTAATAACATAATATAAACATTATATACTATATATATATGTATATGAACATAGATAAATAGATAGATGCATGCATGCATACATACATACATACATGCATGCATGCATACATGCATACATGCATACATGCATACATACATACATACATACATACATACATACATGCATACATGCATGCATGCATACATACATACATACATGCATACATGGATGCATACATGCATACATGCATGCATACATACATACATGCATACATGCATGCATACATGCATACATGCATACATGCATACATGCATACATGCATGCATGCATACATGCATACATGCATACATACATACATGCATACATGCACATACATACATACATATACATACATACATACATGCATACATGCATACATGCATACATGCATACATGCATACATGCATACACGCATACATGCATACATGCATACACGCATACACGCATACACGCATACACGCATACACGCATACATGCATACATGCATACATGCATACATGCATACATGCATACATGCATACATGCATACATGCATACATGCATACATGCATACATGCATACATGCATACATGCATACATGCATGCATACATGCATACATGCATATGCATGCATGCATGCATACATACGTGCATGCATCATACATATATATATGATTATATATATGTATATATATGTATATATATGTATATATATGTATATATATGTATATATATGTATATATATGTATATATATGTATATATATATATATGTATATATATGTATATATATATATATGTATATATATGTATATATATGTATATATATGTATATATATGTATATATATGTATATATATGTATATATATGTATATATATATATATGGTAGAATTGTTAAGCTGCCCCAAACAACTTCTTGGGTCATGCATGGTTGTGAACTGATGTTGACTGTGATATTTTTGGGATCAGTGCTAGCAATTCCTACATCGCCCATCCGCATACATCTGAAGGCAACCATGATTCGCCTGCAAAATCTGCACATCAAACTTTGCAGCAAACAGAATTATCACGGCATGACCGCGCTCGCGATGGCGCCCACCACTGTGCCTGGCTATATCATTTGCTGCACATGCTGCTGCCTAATTATTAACATAGGCCAGGCGTTTTAGCAGCCTGGCATATGTTTTTTTTCTGTGATGCCAACTCTTCCAATAAATCTTTGCTCAGGAAGAATTCAAATAAAACACAAGACCCCAGCCGGCAAGACATGTCGCCGAGAACAATGGCAAGCGTAATCATGTTTCTTGTTCCTTCTCTGCTTTCTAGCGTCTGGCTTCATCTCGTGTCCTGTTGCCTCTTGCTGTCCAGCTTCTTACCCCTTCGTTTCTTTGTTCCTGAACGGACAAGAAACTTGCTCCGAATTGCAGCCTCCAAGCCTCCAAAACCTTGGCCTCGCCACAGCGAAACACCATGCAACTGAAGGATGGACCAGGCCTTCGGCCCGCGGCTGCCTGTGCCTCCCGTTGCTTTCTGAACACCATCATGTGGCGCATCTGTTTGACAATTGGTTGTGGCTTGGTTTGGTTCAAAGTTCGATGCTATCGCTGTCGCAAGGTGTTGCTTTCTAGCTTCTTGCTCTCTTTCTTGTCCCCTCTTCTCTGACACGCTCCCCCTGCTGTTCGGCGGGGGTCGGCGGATATATATACAGACAGAGACCCGTGTCACAGCTCACAGTGGTTGTGCGCCAAGATTGCACCCAATGACTTCACCCACAGCCAAACCATATTCGACACGGGACCCCAATGACTTCGTCTGAAAATGAGGCCCAAATCTCATAGTAGCTATCAACATGTTCCCTAAATGACCATATTTATACCACATTTCCAGACACAACCATTTAACATCATTTAACATATACTGTTGGTCATAAATCCCATTATATCCCCATTATTCTTGGTTCTATAACACCAATTTTGCTAGTTCAATCACAATTTTAAAAACCATTCTTGGGGTTAGTAAAATCTTCAGGATTTATCCCATTGTATCCATACTCTGGTTGGTTAAATCCCTGTTGTTAAAAATCCTCCCCGTTGTATCCCCACTATCACCCCTCATGATGTAATTTCTTTAATCATTTACCAATTATATAAATTCATGATTTGCTTCGACATTGTGGCTACATTGCAGTTTTTTTTAATATCCTCATTTGCAGCTGATTTTCTCATGATATCACCATATTTATATGCCACTACTTTCCATGTTTTTTGTTTTTTTTCCATATGTCTTAGTTCACCCCCCAAAAAATCCAAGGGTGGCTGCTTAAAAACCCATGGAATTTCCTGCCACCTACAGGGTGATGCCTCAGCTCCTTCTAAGTTGCTTGGTAGGACCTAGTTATCATATTGCTATAAAGTACTTCGTAACATATAACTATGTTAACTAACCCATTCTACCATAATGTATAGTGGTTAACTATTCTTTATGGTATATATATATACGTATATAGAGGTTTCATGGGATTGCTAAAGCAGCAGCCATCAGGTACCACCAGGTATCTTTCGTGTCCCATTTGGGCCGCTACCAATAGATCGTTTTCACATATCCCTAAGCAGCAGCTCAGCATGACCCCTATAAATCAATCATTCTTGGAGAGTCTAAAACATATATCATCCATATTTCACCTTCTGTCTCTGAACATCTTCCATTTTCAACCCCATTTTCTTCCCAGCCGCACCGAGGATGTGACTCAGTGCATCCTAGCCTTCACCGCGTCGTTAGAGTCGACCATGGCTACCATGACCACCACCACCACGACAACCACCACGACGACCTCGCGGGATTTGTTCCTGGAGAACTGTGCGTTGGATCAAGGTGGGGGATGATAGAGGATGGTTGCGATGCCACAAGGGGAGGGATAGAAATACAGATGTGTCTGTGTATATATATATAGCTATATATCTATATCTATATATATATATAAGCGCAATATACAGAGATCAAGATAGGTAAAATATGAATGTAGAAAAAACACTGGAAAGGGGAATATGACCATAAATACAGATGTAAATGAATACATATCCACGTATGTAAACGTATGCAATATACACAATATATACATACATACATACATACATACATACATACATACATACATACATACATACATACATACATACATACATACATACATACATACTTACATACATACATACATACATACATACATACATACATACATACTTACATACTTACATACTTACATACTTACATACTTACATACTTACATACTTATTACTTACATACATACTTACATCCATCCATCCATCCATACATCCATACATCCATACATCCATACATCCATACATCCATACATCCATCCATCCATCCATCCATCATCCATACATATCATATCATATCATATCACATCCATCCATCTTATTACATACATACACAATTCTTATTTGGTTTCGTGTCAAAACCGGGATGATGGATGCGTATTTATTCTGAAGTAAATGATTTTTGGTAAACCCAAGAATAACGCTTCCACGTGGGGATGGGTTTTACAACCCATTTATGGTGGTTTGTTTGACACGGTTAATTATTGGGGTTGCCACATTATATGGGTAACTATCTCAATTTTGTCGAACATTTTAGCTTGGTGTTTTTTTCATCAGCCAGATGTGTATACAGGGCTCAACATAATCGAGATAATGCGGATACTTCTCAGAAGAATGACCAGAACATAATCATGGGGATATTGATGTGGATATTGACTATCAGTAAGGCGTGTGGTTCTAAAATGAATATTTTGGCACGAAGATATGCCATTGCCAATGAAATTCAAGGAATTTGAACCAACGAAGAGATTGATGGGCTACTACCATAATAGAAGTGGGGTCATACATAACCACTCATGTTCCTGGATGTTTGCCCAGGAGCAGATTGGCATGCAAAGAACCCTTTGTAAGTAGCTGCAGGGCTAACTATTTCCACGTGGTGTGATGGAATCGGAATGCATGACATGAACAAAAGATTTCGGAGACCTTTCGAGAATTTAATGAGGACCAGGATCAGTATATAAGCCTTTCTGCCTTTAAATCCTTTGGGAAGATCAATCTGGATCTTGATTGTGGACCATGAAATCAGTGACACCAGAGACGATAGGGGAAGGCAATCGCAGCTTTGCAAGGATATAAATAACCTATAGGTTCTGTACCCATTTTACCAGAATTAACCAACCACATCTAACGAATCCTGAGATTTGTGGAGGCCGGGTTCAAATTTAACGATCCTATATTATATATCAATAATATCCCATTGTATATCCCCATATATTCCAAGTAGAGTAGTAGAGTTGTCTAATTCTCAACTCTAACTAATTCTCACATCCCAAACTGTAGGCTTTCAGGGAAGAAGAGCAGTGGATCTGTCAGACACCAATGCCTACCTGGCTATGGTGATTGCAACTGCCCCTGGGCGGAAAGGATCGCGATGCGGGTCCAGGTGTGATCCTAAAAGATGCGCAAAATCTGCAAGTTATGCGGGGGAAAAACAAGAATAATCCCATAATTGGGATTTATTGTTGGGTATATCCATGTATGGATGATGGACCATTGCCCCAAATGATTTGTCACTCGGATGATCTATTGCATGGGGTTTAGTGAAGTAATTACACATCTGGGTTTGTTCAAAAATGGTGGTATGTCCAAAACTTACAGTTTCCATTGGGAAAACCATGACTACCCCCTGGTAAACTAACATAGCTATTGAACATCACCATTTTTAATGGGTAAATCAACTATAAATTATAAATGGCCATTTTCAATAGCTATGTAACAAATTACCAGAGGGTAATTAGATATTTTTAAAGGTAGCCGATTGCCAGAGCATGATCGAAAGATCCGGTGTTTGCCTTTCTCCGCCCTCTCGATGGTTTGCCGCCTTTCTCCCAACTCCCCCGGTCTTTCATGGCTCAAATCCTGAATTTTGCTTTCTCCAATCAGTGTTACAAAAAATATCTACATATACTAGTTTATATATATATATATTAGTTTATATATAATATATATACTGTATATATATATATTATTTGTTGGTGAAATCTTGTTGACTGCTGTTGGTTCCTTGAATCAGCATGTTGCTACGAGGTGGTGGGACAATGCGCATCTGGCAACAGCTGCCAGCTGTCGCCCCCCGGGACCTCAATGACCTGCGCCAGCAGTGCCTACTACCCGGCTACGGATGCCGTGGGCTTGGTGACGGCCGCGGAGAAAGAGGTGGCAGGGCTTGGGGATGGACCATTTCGGCCACTTTTTTGGAAGTTTCCACCGGAAAATGAGGCTTCCACCGGAAAATCGGATAGGGGGAAGGATGTCGCCACCTTTGGGAATTGTGGGTCTAGGTGGCAGATGACGGTGTAGAACGCCTCTTAGATCATCCCAGAATCAAGATTTTGAGGCTAGGAAGAGCCACCCAGGGAAATCAAGAACTCGACTTGGGTACACGAGGACCATGCTGTTGTCAGAATTTGCACTCCCAACTGAACGACCATTTCAACATCAAGGATCTTAACCCAGATTTGGCTTGCAGGGAATCGAGCATTCATGGTTTTTCTATGTTTTTTCTATAGTTTTCCTATATTTTTCTGCAGATTTTCATTGGAAAACTGACCTGTGGTAGGCCATACTGGCGAAGTTGTGTGATCCGCAGCAGACCCTGTGGTTTCATGGCAGGACTTGGGTGATTTTTTCAGGGCCCAAGATCAATCATGGGCGACAAGTTGAATCCAATATAGATCGAACAGTTGTTCCTACATGTTGATGGGTCAATGATATTGGATTCAATATCTAGATGTTGACCCATCTGATTTGGATACGTTGATGGATATTGGATATGTTGACCCATCTGATACAATATATATATATGGATATATATATATAATATAATAATATATATATATAGTTTTTTCTAGATGTTGATGGGTCGAACAATATCTGCATGACCATCCAATCTGCGCGCTGCAGCGGATCCGCTGCCACAGCCTTACGGATTCGCAGCCGACCATCATCCATTCCTCGACGACACCCGCTCTCGAGGAAATCCCAGGAATGAGAGGTATTTCACCCATCAAAAATTTATGTGATAGAGGGAAAATCAAACATATTAGTCCATATTGTCAACTAAAGTCGATTAATCCATATAATTCAACCATCTTAAACCATATTAGGCATTATTAATCCATATTAAACCATATTAGACCATATAAATCCGTATTAATTCATAAGACTCCATATGAATCCATAGAGAGCCCCTTGTCCCCTTTGGTTCTCCCAAGGTTCAACGCCAAGAACCAGTTCTTGCCCATCTCCTTTGACTGTGTAGGCGCGTTTTTTTTCATCAGCTTTGTTCAACCACCAGAAATGTCTCAACTATCAGTTTCCTAATGGTGAAACAACCAACAGCATCAAAGCCTAGTTTTTCAGAGGTCTCAGACATTTCACCCTTTTTCACCATGACTTTTCCCTTCATCCAATCAGTGACTCTGTCAATGGCCTTGGATGGGAGTTGGAGCCCAGGTCGGTCGAGCAAGTATGCCATGTCTCGCTTCTTCGCAGGTGCATGGGGAGGGGTTTTGTAGCCGAGCCATTCTCGGTCTCTCTGGTGGTTTCAGTTGTACCAAAAACACCAAGGTGATGAACGAAGAACATTTTCCAAGCACTCCATTGACAGGTGATGTTTCTCTAATTTTACAGATCATGTTTCTCCAATTTTTTCAACAAATATATGTTGTTGCAGCCGCCAAAGGCCACTCCGCCCTACAGGAGCTCCCACGGAAGACCAGGAAGAAGATGCCAAGATGTTCACCACAGGCAGACGAAACCATGGTGACCACCAGGGATCCCCCATTGAAAGCGGAGATTTGATGAAAATGGCTTTGCTAAAACTACTTCGCTTCTTTGGAAGTCATTGGTTCTTGTTTATTTGTGGATGTCATTCTGTTGTGATTTCTGAAGAAGCTGGCTTTCGGTGGCTTGGTGTACCTTTCTTGGGCTGTCTTGAAAGCGTGACTTTTCTGTGCAGACATCACAGGCTGACAATTCATGATGCGTAGTTGCAACTCATAATTATGGTAACGGTAACGTCTCAGATGGAAAAGCGATGTACCATGATTTGCTCCCAGCAAAATGAGTGGATCTTACCAATCTTTACCATGATGGATTTAGCCAGTAAACACAGCCATGTGTAGACTTTTTTTTGGCTGTGATTTGTATAGTTATTTTTCCATCTCCCGTAAACACCTATTTTTCCTATTCTTTGTGGGATCTACTGGCTATCTTGTGGCTAATTTTGCCAGGCTATGTGGAGGCCCGCAACGGTTGGTTCCAGAAGGCCGCGCAGATCGAGGCCAAATACGCGCCTTGGGCCCCTGTTGGGGGGAGGGTGGTTTGGAGTTTCTTAGTATATATATACATACATAGATATATAATATTATACTACATTAAGAAAAAGGCTCGAAAGTGGTGTCCACATTCCTTCAGCCTATTGAACAAAAACCTCTACTGATGAGTTTATGAGGCATCTTTTCAACCCATAGAGAAACAACAAAAACAATAACAAGAACAAAAACAACAGCAACAACAGCAACAACACTTGAGTGCAGGGCATGCACCTGCTGAGGAGCGGGAACACGGCACCAAGTTGCGCATTATGCTCTTCTCGGGCGCCACGTTGCTGGGATGTTTTTTCTGAGAGTTTCTTCACATCCAGGATATGGCCCGTGGCCAATGGCTATTCTGTTTTCCAGGATATGAACAGCTTGCCATGAAAGGACTGGTGTTTTGATGTATTTTGTCACATCTCGAAGTCATTGCAAGCTGCGGTGACTCTTTCCAACATCGCAATCCCAGGCTGATTGCTCAATATCTTCAGATCTTGGCAATTGATGCTGGGTATTTCCATACCTGTAAATCCAACTGCTGAAAACCGAACACAATTTTCTCACCCCCCAAAAAGTAGAGAGGCTGGTCATAGGATGCCACGACTGTTTGGTTTCCAGTTTGGATTTCTGGTTGGTGAAGGTTCTCCATTGTTCTTGTGTGAAGATCCACTGTTTGGTTTACGAGAAAAGTGTGTCGGCGCACAGCCAGTCCAAGGCACAAAAGCAATCTCCATCAGTTGGGTGAGTGCAAACTCTTGGAAACAAGATCCAGCGAATAATGTGGCGAACCAAGTCTCTATCAAGAAACACAAGTAACACACTTTCATTTTTGCGTTTTTTGAAAAATATACTTCTCACTACAAAAACCTGGCTGGGGGTTTCCTACCATCTGAGTAGGATGATGGTCCCCAAGGATGAAAGGGAATGGGATAATCCGTTATACCAAATTTTAGTCCCATAATTAAACCACTAGAAACGTATACTGTATATATATAAATAATATACACATACGTATATATATATATACACACATAACCCATAGAAAACAAACGCAATCCATCGTTTGACAGAATCTTTGTTTTGAATCCATCGTTACCTAAAGACATGTTGGAACAAAAACACCTCACAAATCTGACAAACCAAGGATGGTTTCCTTTCCTTCGGTTCTTTGATCTCTGTGTGGGCGTACATGTGGTTGATGCTTGAGAGTGGCTTGGATCTTGCAGCCGCTGCCACCTGGGCCGGAAGAAGAAAAAACATATTTGGGCCAGAAGAAATAGACCTCTACCCTCAAGATATGGCAACTTCAATAGGGAAAATGAGGTTTTCAACCATTGGATTCTGGTATTTTCCCCAAAACAACATAGACTCACCCATTTGCATAACGTGGATTCGGCCACTTCTGAGCAATGATATATCAATCTCACGCCCGAGCCCTGCCTGGTAGGTGTCTTCCTGGCCTCATGTGGAATGTTTGAGATCGTTTTCTCGCTCCCAGTGGGCATGTGCCTTTGGGTCATCATTGGACAGCAGAAGATCTTCTGGTACCAGATGTTGGCACCTGGGCCCGTGCTGATTGATATAGAACTCACTTGTTGGTGGAATGTATATATGTATTTAATATGTCATATATCATATGATATCATATGATATATATATATACACATATGATGCGTATATATATATGATGCGTATATATATATATGATGCGTATATATATATATGATGCGTATATATATATATGATGCGTATATATTAATATATATATATGATGCGTATATATATATGATGCGTGTATATATATATATGATGCGTATATATATATATATGATGCGTATATATTAATATATATATATATATGATGCGTATATATATATATATCGTAGATATAGATATAGATATAGACATAGGTAATAAACATATGGAATTGTGGGGTTATTGTATGATACAATGTGGATATACTATGGGATAAAACTAGCCAACAATACGGGACACAATGCGGATGACCCAGAATCAACCGTGGCTATGGTGCTTTTTGGCAAATCTTATCCAGCTTTAGATGCTTTAGGAGTCAGCATGACAACCACTGACAGTTATTGACAACTTTGGCCTGCTCCATCTTTGTTGCTTTACCCTCTGGTGATTTAAGATAGCTATGGAAAATCCATTCAAAATGGAGGTTTTAATGGGAAAATCATCTGTAAATGGATCATTTTCCATAGCTATGTTAGTCATAACCAGAGGGTAATTTCTTAATTCCTACAGGTTGTATTTGTGTGATGCCTAGACTAGCCGGTGACACCTTGATTTTTTACACTATCCCTGGAGATGGTGAATGCTCGACTTCAGCATTTCTCTTGGTTGACCCTCTCACAATGTATACAAGCAATGCCCAGGCTCCTTGTTGAGGATGTTCTTTTAGGTCGCAACAAATATAAATATAGGTAAATCATGGTACAGTAGATGGTATACTAGGCTTCTACCACGCTGTTCTTGCAAAAGAACATGTTTAGTATGAACTTGTTTACCATGCGGATTCCCATGGTTAGGATGGTATAATCGGAAACCACACAAAATGAATTCATTCATCATACTTTCACCCGCACATTTTACCCAGATCTCAGCATCTTTCACACTCCAACTTGGACACCTTTCTGAACAGTTTTCAAGATCTCACGTGGATTTGTCTTCCATTTTTTTTGAATCTTCAGTAAAATGGAAGACAAATTTTCCTTTTTCCCCAGAGAATCTTCATTTTTTTTGAATCTTACATCTCACGTTCATATGTACTCTGGGGTAAACTATCAGTTCCATATGGAAACTCCAGCATTTGTAGATCATTATCCTAGGAAAACCACAGATATCTTCCACATCTTGGTATATGTAAAAAATCCAGGCTATGTTGATCCAACAAATCCACCCAAATATTGTTGTTATGGTCATATCCAATGATATCCTAAAAAAACATGATCACAATAGTTACCCTCCGGCAATCAAACATGGCTTGCTGGCAAATCCACCAGAAAGATGATTTCCCAAGCAAAAAAGAAACATTTCTAGACGATTTTGCCATGATTACAGGAGGGTATCACCATATACAACAAGGCTATCACCATGAATAGGGGTGTCTTAAAATGGGGCATCCTCAAGTCACAAAATAGGCTTTCATACTATTAAAAATGGTCATCCCCATCACTTCAGAAATCTCCATGTACCAATGATGATGATTGTCGGTTTTTTGCATTCCAGCTATATCCCAATTATATCTCAATTATATCCCAGTTAATTATATCCCAATTACCCACTGATATCCCAACAATATTCCTATACACAAATCCCTATTTCTTCAAAACCCATACACCATCAAAAAATGATCCCGCCGAGGTAATCTACATGATTCTGGGCATTGGCGCCGATGATGTCTTCATCCTCTATGATGCATGGCTCCAGAGTGCCCACGTGGAAGGCGTCAAGGACGGATGAACGGCTTCGCCGAAGCAGATTTCTTGGGAGAATCGGGGGGATATCATGGGGATATATGATATACACACATTCTATACACATGAATAAGATACATATATGTACATATACATATAGATATGCATGTATATATATATATGTATATATATATGTATACATATATATATATATATATGTATATATATATATATTTATATATATATATACAGAAGTAGAACACTATGATTGGGGAAATGAGGGGACCCCCAAGTTCATCCAAAGTTCTTCAAAATCTGAGGCAATCAATGGCGATTTCACCAAGAAGGGCGAAACACTTGTTGTCTTTCCACGTGCGTGGCTATGTCCTGATATGTCCTGAAAGATGATGACCCATAGTCAACACCCCCCAGAAACCCAGGCGAACCGTATTTAATTTGTTCATTTTTTGGGGACCATTAGGTAGGGGGGTGGTTATGTTGATCCGTTTTTTTTTTCGGTATCAATGAACATGGCAGAACGGTCAACCAAAATTTCTATCCCAATCTACATCCAAGTTTTCCATACGCTTTTGGTGGTAAAGCCAATGTCCATCCCAGGGTCATCACCATTTTGGTGGGTGGATTCCAAGCATCCCGGTACCCGTCGGCCCGTCAGGAGAGCATGTCCCATCGCTTCGTTTGGGCATATCGCCGGTCGGCCATGGCCATGTTGCTTGGGAACTACATTTATCATCTGGTTATTTAACATAGCCATGGAAAATCACAATTTTTAATAGGTAAACCCAGGTAAACCATCTATAAATGGGCTATTTTCCATGGCTATGTTAAATAACCAGAGGGTACATTTATTAGGGTTGTTGAAGAGGATGTACCTTCCGGTGCCAAAGGTGGCAGGGAAATCCCCGATAAATGGAGGTGGGTTTTGTGTCAATGATGGATTTGCCACAAATTGGATTCCTGGAGGGCCTGGAGGGTATGGATTTTCACAAGAGGAACCTGAGGAAACCCTACCATTTGGGGCCAAGCAAATCCTGGAAGCAAATCCTGGACTTGAGGGGTGTGGTTGGGGTGGCAAAAATGGTTATAACAATGGCGATTTCACCAACATACCCGCCGAAATTCAATTGAACTGCACGTTCGAATCCCAGCATATCCCAATTTTATCCTCATTATATATACAAGGTTGCCCCCAAGTGATTTTTATATGTCTACAACCCCAATTACTGTAAGTTCGGTATATCTATCACAAAGCAAGGTCATGTCATGTCCAAATCCCACAAAATTCACATTTTTCTTGGTTGCTATGTGGTGTCATCATGTCGAATCCCCAGAACCAGAACCATTTTTTTGTGGCATTTTCCACCTTTTTCCATGAAACATATCATGGTCCATTTCCATATATGGTGACCATTTTCTCCATATGTTATTACCCTCTGGTTATTTAACATAGCCATGGTATAGATGGCCCTAATCGAAATAGATGGTTTGCCTGGGTTTACCGTTCTTAATAGCATGGGTGGATCTTTCCATGGCAAAGTGTTAGTCATAATCAGATGGTATATCCCATTAATATCCCATTGAACCACTATAAAATCCCATTAAACCACTATAATAACCAGAGGGATAGTGATTTTATAGGACCATTAGTGGGTTAAAATCCCATTAATTTCCAGCAGTTTTCAGGTTAGTGACCACCCTGACCACCTGCGGATCCTTCGCCATCGGAGCGACCTCGCCCCTGCCCTTGGTGCAGAGCTTCTGCATCTTCGCGGCGGTGGTGGTGCTGGTGCCGTGGTGGAAAGATGTGGGAAATCCATGGGAAATCCATGGGAAATCCGTCATTTATAGTGGTTAAGACCCTCATAAACTGAGGATTTAATGGTTCAATGAGTGATTGACACCCTTACAAATGGAGGTTTTAATGGGACTATCATGCTTTTTTATATGGTGATTCACCTTTATAAATGGATGTTTTATAGAATGGGGAAATCTTCCTACACATGATTGTTTACATATCACATGATATTTTTGTATGAAAAGTGTGGGTCAAAAAGTGCCATAGTTGGAGGGATCATCATCCATTTACCAGCTATTTTGTTGTCTACGAAGGTGTACCATGGAGGATGAAACCGGCTGGGAAGTAACCAAAAGGAGGCTTTTCTCCACAGGGATTCCACCAATTTGGGGGAAAACATGGGATATACCATGGAAGTTGAAGCAGTAAACAGGGATAGATATATATATATATATATAACATATATATATAACATATATATATATATATATTATATATATGGGATATACTATTTCGAAAATGGGAGATGAAGCAGTAAACATTGAAGTTGAACTGCGACTAGCTGCGACTGCTTGCGTTGCGACACGTAGTGCTTGAAATGCCATGGAGAAATGACAATCCTACATTGGACCCCAATCTAAACACACCACCCTCCAAGACATGGAGCACCAGGTGGATTACCTCTTCTGCATCAGCTTCTTTGCCGCTGCAGTATTGGTCTATGCCTCCCAGCTGAAAGGGGCCCTTTGAAGTGGGGCTGGACATTCGGATGGGTTTCGAGGACCAACGGTTTCAGTAACTTGCAACTTATTTTTTCGATTGATTCGCACATATAAAATATTATAAAATGGCGTTCGGCCTTCGAATGAAACGGGTGAAGGTCAATGACATAATGACAGGATTCAAACCTAAAATCGCTCTTTGTTCATCCCCAACGATGACAACAAAATGGAGACTGTTCGCTTCTTCAGCGCGCTTGAAAACATCAAGCATGGCTAGCTGGGAAATGCCGCATAAATGAAGGTTTCTAGATGGGAACATCATCGAACAAAATGGTGGATTACCAGAGGGCACTTAGTGAACTTCGCTAAGGAGAAGTTCATGAAGGGCTACGGCTGCTGTTGCAGCTTCTGCGGAATTCCTGTTCGGGACCGGTGTTGTTTTTTGGGGAAGCAGGTGACCCAGGGGCCAGAAATTCACTGTTCGGATGTTCTGGAAGAGTGATGGTCAAGTTTAGCAGTTCACCGGGCCACAAAAAGGTGATGTTCACTGAACACTTCGCACCTAGGTGGGTGCAGTTTTTCTGTTCGTGAATGCCTACATGACCAACAGCGCCGAACTGGGAGTCGAGCAAAATTTCAGACCCACAAAAACCCACCGATTGGAATGTTAATATGCATGAACTATCGAAGTCTTGCGGGTCCCCAATGTAATTTTGAGAGTATTACCCATCTATAGTATCAACCATCTATATCAACAGCCTAAGTATCAACCATCTATAGTATTACCCATGTATGGTATCAACCATCTATAGTATCAACCAAGTATCAACCATCTATAGTATCAACCAAGTATCAACCATCTACAGTATCAACCACCTATAGTATCAACAGCCTAAGTATCAACCATCTATAGTATTACCCATGTATGGTATCAACCATCTATAGTATCAACCAAGTATCAACCAAGTATCAACCATCTATAGTATCAACCACCTATAGTATCAACCAAGTATCAACCATCTACGGTATCAACCACCTATAGTATCAACAGCCTAAGTATCAACCATCTATAGTATTACCCATGTATGGTATCAACCACCTATAGTATCAACAGCCTAAGTATCAACCATCTATAGTATTACCCATGTATAGTATCAACCACCTATAGTATCAACCAAGTATCAACCATCTACAGTATCAACCACCTATAGTATCAACAGCCTAAGTATCAACCATCTATAGTATTACCCATGTATGGTATCAACCATCTATAGTATCAACCAAGTATCAACCAAGTATCAACCATCTATAGTATCAACCACCTATAGTATCAACCAAGTATCAACCATCTACAGTATCAACCACCTATAGTATCAACAGCCTAAGTATCAACCATCTATAGTATTATCCATGTATAGTATCAACCATCTATAGTATCAACCAAGTATCAACCACCTATAGTATCAACAGCCTAAGTATCAACCATCTATAGTATTACCCATGTATAGTATCAACCATCTATAGTATCAACCAAGTATAAACCATCTCTATAGTATCAACAGCCTAAGTATCAACCATCTATAGTATTACCCATGTATAGTATCAACCATCTATAGTATCAACAAAGTATCAGCCATCTATAGTATCAACCATCTATAGTATCAACCATCTATAGTATCAACAGCCTAAGTATCAACCATCTACAGTATTGACCATCTATAGTATCAACCAAGCATCACCCATCTATAGTATCAACCATCTATAGTATCAACAGCCTAAGTATCAACCATCTATAGTATTACCCATGTATAGTATCAACCATCTATAGTATCAACCAAGTATCAACCATCTATAGTATCAACATGTATAGTATTAACAATATAAGTATTAAATATCTGTAGTATCAATTATCTATAGTATCAATATATATTGTATCAACCATCTAAGTATTAACCATCTAAGTATTAACCATCTATAGTATTAACCATCTGTAGTATCAACCATCTAAGTATCAACCATCTATAGTAGAAAATCATCTGTAGTATCAGCCATCTATAATATCAACCATCTAAAGTATCAACCATCTATAGTGTTAACCATCTAAGTATTGTTAACCATGTATTAACCATCTATCGTACTAACAATCTATAGTATCAACCATCTAAGTATTGACAACCACGTCTTAACCATCTATAGTATTAACCATCTAACTATTAACCATCTATAGTGTCAACCATCTAGAGTATTTATTATCTATGGTATCAACCGTCTATAGTATGAACCATCTATAGTATCAAACATCTATAGCATTAACCATCTAAGTATTAACAGCCATGTATTAACCATCTAAGCATTAACCACCTATAGTATCAAAGCATCTATAGTATTAACCATCTAAGTATTAACCATCTTTAGTATCAACCATCTAAGTATCAACCATATAAGTATTAACCATCGAAGTATTAACCATCTATAGTATTAACCATCTATAATATTAGCCATCTATAGTATTATCCACCTATAGTATTATCCATTAATAGTAGCGACCATCTATGGTATCAACAATCTATAGTATTAACCATAATTAAAACCAACCATCTATACTATCAAGCAACTATAGTATCATTTACCTAGAGTACCAACCATCTAAGTATCAACCATCTAAGTATTGACCACCTATAGTATTAAGCATCTATAGTATTAACAATCTAAGTATTAAGCATCTATAGTATCAATTGTCTATAGTATACTTATCTGTATTATCAACCATTTAAGTATTAACCATCTATAGTATCAACATCTAATTATTAACCATCTATAGTAGCAACCATCTATAGTATCATTATCTCTCGTATAAAGCATCTACATATTAACCATCTAAGTATTGACCATCTATAGTATCAACATCCATAGTATTAACCATCTAAGTATTCACCATCTATAGTATCATCTATCTATGGAGTCATTTATCTATAGTATCAACCATCTAAGTATTAACAATCTAAGTATTAACCATCTATAGTATCAACCATCTAAGTATTAACCATCTAAGTATTATCCATCTTTAGTATCAACATATAGTATTATCAATCTAAGTATAAACAATCTATAGTATAGACAGCCATAGTTTGTACCATCAAAGTATTAACCATCTAAAGTATCAACCATCTATAGTATCATTTATCTATAGTATCAACCATCTACGTATTAACCATCTAAGTATGAACCATCTATAGTATCAACATCTATTTTATTAGCAATCTACGTATTAAACATCTATAGTATCAATTATCTATAGTATCAATTATATATAGTATCAACCATCTAAGTATTAACCATCTAAGTATTAACCATCTATAGTATCAACATCTTTAGTATTCACAATCTAAGTATTAACCATCTATAGTATCAACCATATGTAGTATCATTTATCTATATATTAACCATCTAAGTATTAAACCTCTTTAGTATCAACATCTATAGTATTAACAATCTAAGTATTACCCACCTATAGTATCATTTATCTATAGTATAAATTATCTATAGTATCAACCATCTAAGTATAAACATTCTATAGTCTCAACCATCTATAGTAACATATTTCAATATTATCAGCATCTATAGTATCAACCGTCCATAGTTTCATTTTTCTATGGTATCATTGATCTATGGTATCAACCATCTAAGTATCATATATCTATAGTATCAACCATCCATAGTATAAGCCATCTAAAGTATCAACCATCTCAGTATCATTTATCTATGGTACCAACCATCTAAGTATCATTTATCTATATATAGTATCATTTATCTATAGTATCATTTATCCATAGTATCATTTATCTATAGTATCAGCCATCTATAGTATCATTTATCTATAGTATCATTTATCTATGGTATCATTTATCTATAGTATCATTCATCCATAGTATCAGCCATCTATAGTTTCATTTATCTATAGTATCAGCCATCTATAGTATCATTTATCTATAGTATCAGCCATCTATAGTATCATTTATCTATAGTATCAGCCATCTATAGGATCATTTACCTATAGTATCATTTATCTATGGTATCATTTATCTATAGTATCATTTATCTATAGTATCAGCAATCTATAGTATCATTTATCTATAGTATCATTTATCTATAGTATAAATTATCTATAGTATCAGCCATCTATAGTATCATTTATCTATAGTATCATTGATCTATAGTATCAGCCATCTATAGAAACATTTCTCTATAGTATCAGCCATCTATAGCATCATTTTTCTGTAGTATCATTTATCTATAGTATCATTTATCTATAGTATCAGCCATCTATAGAAACATTTCTCTATAGTATCATTTATCTATAGTATCATTTATCTAAAGTATCATTTTTCTATAGTATCAGCCATCTATAGTATCACTTATCTATAGTAGCAGCCATCTATAGTATCATTTATCTATAGTATCATTTATCTGTAGTATCAACCATCTATAGTATCATTTATCTACAGTATCATTTATCTATAGTATCAGCCATCTATAGTATCATTTATCTATAGTACCAGCCATCTATAGTATCATTTATCTTTAGTATCAGACATCTATAGTGTCATTATCTATAGTATCATTTATCTATAGTATCAGCCATCTATAGTATCGTTTATCTATAGTATCAGCCATCTATCGTATCATTAATCTATAGTATCATTTATCTATAGTATCATTTATCTATAGTATCATTTATCTATAGTATCAACCACCTATAGTATCATTTAGCTATGGTATCAACCATCTAAGTATCATTAATCTATAGTATCATTTATCTATAGTATCAGCCATCTATAGTATCATTTATCTATAGTATCATTTACCTATAGTATCATTGATCTCTAGTATCATTTATCTATAGTATCAGCCATCTATAGTATCATTTATCTATAGTATCATTTATCTATAGTATCAACCACCTATAGTATCATTTAGCTATAGTATCATTTATCTATAGTACCAGCCATCTATAGTATCATTTATCTATAGTATCAACCATCTAAGTATCATTAATCTATAGTATCATTTATCTATAGTATCAGCCATCTATAGTATCGTTTATCTATAGTATCAGCCATCTATCGTATCATTTATCTATAGTATCATTTATCTATGGTATCATTTATCTATAGTATCATTTATCTATAGTATCAAGCATCTGTAGTATTATTTATCTATAGTAACTTAGTATCAACCATCTAAGTATTAACCATGAATTTTGATCCCAAAAAAAACATGGCCATTTCACTAGGCCTCCCTTGCGCAGGAGCCGGGCACCTGCCTGGGCCCCGGCTGCTGCTGGGGCGGCTTTCGGGCCCTCTTCAGCTGCTGTGGCACCAGCTGGAAGTGCATGCCCAAGCCGCAGGCCAAGGCGTCCGAACCCGGGGAGATGGGGATGGTCAAGGAACTATGGTTAATGAACTATGATTAATGAAGTGTGGTTAGTTAACTGTGGTTAGTTAATTGTGGTTAGTTAATTGTGGTTTCTTACTGTGGTTAATTTAAGTACGTATGGTTAATTCACCATAGTTTAGTGAGTTTTTTTTGATCATTTCTAGTAAGATTGGGGGTGGTTTGTTGTTTTTTGAACCCCGTGAATTAACTGTTCCATGTCATCTGGGAAAATGGATCATGGTGGTGTTAATCTTAAGAAATCAAAAAAGGAAGGGTTCAACAAGGAACGGGGCAGAATGCCTAGAAGATAGTGATTTAGCAAACAAAGAGGGTGGTTGGACCAACAACGCACATCTGGGAAATCACTGTCAAAATCTGTAGTGAACCGTGTTTAAAAGGTACTTCAACCTCCTTCAATGGTTTTATCGTTTTGCAATGTTTAGTCTTGTAGCCTGAGGCAAACTCAGCTAGATTTGGAAGCACTTAAAAAAAAATCGTCATTTTCCGGTCATAAAAATGGTCATTCATCGTGAATTTCATGGGGAAATTCATCAATTTCTATGGGCCTTTCGTGGCGCTTCCGAATTTAGGACGCACCATTGGAGAAGCGCGCGATGGAACGCTTCTTCTCAGGACCCGTGTGGCTCGGACGGAACCGAGCAGGAACGACTCGAGGCTGGTGAAGCGGAACGCAAAGGGTGTGAGATAGGAAAACCATAGGAAAAGCAGTTGGAAAATGGTGGTTTAATGGTGGTTTAATGGGGTTTAACCATGGTTAATAGTGTTTAAAAGTGGTTAATAATGGTTAATCATGGCTGATATAGAAAATTACGCTCCGGTAATTTGTTACAGTTTGCTATTGAAGCCATGGCCCATAGAAATAGTGGATTTACCCATTGATAGCATGGTGATTTTCCATAGTTATGTAAACGTTTACCAGAGGGTAATAGCAGGACCAAATAGGATGAGGATTTACATAGCTGTCAAAATTTGAATGGTTAAACTTAGATAGATATGATCATACCCCAAAATTTGACAGCTATGATCATTTGAATACCTTCAAAATAATGGGTCAAACTTAGATAGCTGTCCAAATTGGATGCTTAATACCTAAAAGTAGAATAACATCTCTGGTTTTTGTGGGTCTTGATTTTTGACCAGATGGACCCATTCCCAGGCTCATGATGGATGGAACATTCAAGACATATGGACTACTATGGCCATAAATAGATATCAGTTTCATAAGATTGATGGTTCAATACTCAAAGCGCCAGCCATTTTTTTTGGAGAAGCTTCCGCTCCCAGATGAGGGAAGTGTCAGAATCGATGAACAGGTGCACGATTTGCCCCGGTGTGAAGAGCATTACTCATTGGGGGAAGCAACGAATCATAGTGAATCCCTTTCGTATATAGTAAAAGATCCCCGAAACAAAACCCTGTTGTAGTATCTGATCTATTCGTTCCGGAGCTTTTTCTTTTTGGCGGGGAGGAACTATGAACCCAAAATCTCATCAATCCCAGAATTGGATGTTTTGCAGAATTTTGCCAGAAACACTATTAACCATGGTTAAACCCCATTAAACCACTATTAACCATCGAGAAACTCCAAAGATTTCTGTCTGACAAGGCCAGGTCTTCTAGAAACCCCCATCGCCAAGGTTCCGCTTCTACGACCGGCACAAGATCAAGCTCATTATTTTCTGGCTCGTGTCCCGGCTTCCCCGTTTACGGTCTTTGGTGTGGTCAAACTTGAACCATTTTTATGCGACCAACCAACAGAAAGCATCATGAAGCGTACCCATCTTTTGACACCAACCAGGTTAATTTGTTCCTGAACATCTCAAAAAGATTGGGGATCCGGATTTGATTCACATCGAAGAGTTTCATGTGCGACCACATGAGCTCTTTTTTTCGCTGCGAGCCAAGAGTGGGTATCCTTTGTTGCTTTTGGTATTTGATACTTCACGCTGAGATTTGACCAGTTTGCTCACGACGACACTGCTATTGAAGCTATATGAAGACTACAATTTCTAGGCGATCCCAAGAGACACAGCGAATTCTGACCATGTCTACATAGTATATACAATAATATGTATATATATATATGCAGTATATATATATATGAGTAGCCGACAAAAGTATTGTAATACTAATTTAGTCTTGCTTAGCCTTGGCGTTTCTGAGGTTGCAAAAAAACCTTCCCCGATAGGGGACGACCCTATACCGATACCCATTTGTGATACCTCTGGAAGTACTAAAATCCTCACAACCGATAGGGGACGACCCTAATTTGTGCATGGCATTAAATTTAACAAATAAATTTGTTCTCTACTCATATATATATATGTACACATATATGTATACACATATACGTATATATATATATACATATATACATATACACATATACGTATATATATATATTATAGATAGTATATTAGATTATATAGATCCTGTACATTAAATATGATATAACTGATCTTCTCTTACAATCTGATTCCCCAAGGCCTCCATTGCGGTCAGGTTGTGGTGGTCGCCATGTCCACATGCGCGGGAGTCTTGCTGCGCACCGCCAAGAAACAGGTGCCACCGGGACGAGCTTTTTCAACCAGACGCCAATGGGATGACCAGACGATGTGTTTATGGCATGAAAAATGGGTCAATGGAGGTGCTAAATTTCCCCCAAGATATGGATTTTTTTAAATAGGTAACTTGACCAGCTTGAGCCATAGCCGTATATCTACATGATCTACATTTACACTGTTGTGGACTATCTTGATCCAAGCTTGTGTGACCAAAGTGTCCACTAGGGCTTGGAAACCCGATTGGAATTTGTTTCTGACTTGAATTCCTGGAGGAGTGAGGCGTGCATGTCGGTTTATGCCTTGTCTGTTTGCAAAAATATGTCTACATAAATTTGCACAAAAAACTTGCATGCCGGGACAAAAAGGACTAGCTTTGACACCCCCAAATTGGGGGATGATTTGCTAGAGATTAGAGACTCATTGGTTTTCGGCTACTCCAAGTTTTTGGATATGAGATTCAGTGATTCTCTCCCCCTTACCCCCCAAGTTTGTATTTTTTTTTCTGGTTTTCTGGTTGGTTGGTTGGTTGGTTGGTTGGTTGGTTGGTTGGTTCAAGTGCTAATTTACAGTACCCGATGGCCTATGGTAGTTACCCTCTGGTAATTTAACATAGCTATTGAAAATCACCATTTTTAATGGGAAAATCCACTATTAATGGTAATTTTCAATAGCTACGTTAAATTACCAGAGGGTAAACATGGCTAGCTGGAAAATTCACCAGTTCTAGATGTCTCCCATTTTTCAATGACCATTTAAATATTATCTGGCTATCCCATGAAGTATCCCATTGGAATCCATATCCACAATCGTGCATCAACATATCCATCAATCCATTAGATATCTAATATTATCCAGAGTATTATTATCCCATGAAATATCCATAGTTCACTTAGTTCACCCATCATTGACCCAGAATTCTCTCAGATTGCAGTGAGGGGTGAGCCTCACTGCAGCGAGGCGCCCATTGGCCGAGAAAACATCGATGTCATCAAGGGCTCCGAGGAGCTGATCAAAGAGGGGTTTTGAGTCCGAAAGACATGGGAAAAACTGCCCCTCAGATTTTTGGGCGACAAAAGCCCCAGATCTTCGAAAGACATGGGAAAAACATCAAAACTGACTGCTCCAAACAAAAACTGCCCCAGATTTTTGGGCGCAAGCGATCTTCGGATGCCAATTTCAGGGGCCAATTTCAGGGGCCACGACTCCCCCGCATCGGTGAAAAACCGCCGGCCCCGGCAGATTTTGTTTGGCGAATTCGAGTTCTCTCCGACCCCCGAGACCGTCTCGATCGCCTTCGGCCTCAACGAGGCGGGCCATGATGGGATGAAAATCCATCAGTTTCACTGAAGAAAAAGGTGGTAACGCCCATGACCCAAATTTTTTGCCAGCCATTTTACGGTTTGGGCGCGATTATGGCGGTTTACCGCATTACAAGCTAATGCCATCCTTCATGCCCATGATGTAGTAGTGCATGATGCAGTGAATGATGGGAACTGTGGAAACAGTTTGTCCATGATGTTCATATTCCCCAAGCTGCTCGGACTTGAGATCGACAAACTGGTGGAGAACAAGATCAGGGTCGCCCCAATGGTCTAAGTCAGTTAGACGTGACGTTTGGTATCTTCTTGTCCGTGCACGTTTTTGGTTAAGAAAAGTAAGAAAAAAAGAAAAACGAGAAAAACGAGAAAAGTCAAAAAGTCAAAAAGTAGAAAAACAATGGTTTTTGCAATCTTCACGTTTTTTGCCCTTCGTTTTTCGCAAGAAAAATAGAAAAAAAAGAAACGTGAGAAAAGTAAAAAAATAGAAACGTAGAAAAACAAGAAAAGTGCAAAAAATACAAAAAGTAGAAAAGTTGAAAAACGATCCTTTTCGACTTGTCTACTTTTCGTGTTTTTCGCGTTTTTCGACTTTTCGCGCACGGAGCCACTTTTCGATTTTTCGAGAAAAAACAGATAAAAACAGATTTGGAAGTTTTCCGCTTTTCTACTTTTCTACTTTTCGTGTTTTTCCTGTTTTTCGACTTTTCGCGCATGCGGCGCACGGGGCCGCTTTTCATTTTTTTGAAAAAAACAGATGTACAAGTTTTTCAGCAGTTTTCCATTTTCTGGGCACGCGGCCGCTTTTTATTTTTCCGCACTTTCGAACAATCATCTGGACATCTGGCTTTCCTTTATTTTCTATCTAGGACGAATTTGGTTTCGTAGTCCTTGTGTTGTGCACCCTTACCACTTTTTTTCCTTTTGCTGCAGAGGGGCAAGACAATTCTACTTCAATAATTTCCTATTGTTCGTGGGTGCTTATGTTTTATTCTTATGCTTGTGCGGTTCACGGTCAGAGTACTTTAGGATTGTTGCTCTGGTGATCATACTTTGATTATTCCCTTTCAGTGTTACTTGCACTTGCATGTGGTGGTGTCAGTTATATAAGTCAAACGTTCATCCTATCTTTCCGCTCAGTAGGAAGGGTATTACTTGGTGGTTGTTTTGTCGGCGGCTGACTCGCCGCCCCCACGAGGGTTGTTATTTTTGCCTACGAATCGAAAACCGTGCTCATAAAACGCACATTTTTGCTAATGGGACGTGGGGGTTATGTTGGGGTGGGGTGGGGTGGGGTGGGGGTGTTAACGTTCTGTCTAGTGCGTACAATACATATTTCTAGGCTCCCGAGATCTCTGGAATGCTTGCCACGTTACATGTTGCTAGGGTGCTGAGAGCTCTGGAATGCTTGCAGAGATCTCCTGTGGTATCCTTGCTACGTTACATGTTGCTACGCTGCCGAGATCTCTGGAATGCTTGGCACGTTACATGTTGCTACGCTGCAGAGAGCTCTGGAATGCTTGCCACGTTACATGTTGCTACGCTGCAGAGATCTCCTGTGGTATCCTTGCTACGTTACATGTTGCTACGCTGCCGAGAGCTCTGGAATGCTTGCCACGTTACATGTTGCTACGCTGCAGAGATCTCCTGTGGTATCCTTGCTACGTTACATGTTGCTACGCTGCCGAGAGCTCAGGAATGCTTGCCACGTTACATGTTGCTACGCTGCAGAGATCTCCTGTGGTATCCTTGCTACGTTACATGTTGCTACGCTGCCGAGATCTCTGGAATGCTTGCCACGTTACATGTTGCTACGCTGCCGAGAGCTCTGGAATGCTTGCCACGTTACATGTTGCTACGCTGCAGAGATCTCCTGTGGTATCCTTGCTACGTTACATTTTGCTACGCTGCCGAGAGCTCTGGAATGCTTGCCACGTTACATGTTGCTACGCTGCAGAGATCTCCTGTGGTATCCTTGCTACGTTACATGTTGCTACGCTGCCGAGATCTCTGGAATGCTTGCC